GAGCGAGCGATATGACGCGAAAGTTGATTAGGAAATAGTCCCATGTGCTAGCTCGACTGTCAAATGGCACTCGCCAGGCCGTGAGCGCCGCCCTTTTGCCCGATTAGGACATTGGTCGAGGTCCGGGTCCTGGGCCGCGGTGGGGCCGGTGCCGAATTGGTCCCAAGTCTCGAAGCGTGGGCTTCCCAAGGCTCCATGAGGGTCCTCGACACATCCCTGCTGGCCCTTGAGAATCAGAATGGAGACTGGAGAAAGCCAAGAGAGTCCGAGTCTGCAACTACCCACGGTTCGCTGAAGAAATCTCGATTCTCAACCCCCAGCATCCCCGTCTTTGCCAGTTGAGGTAGCACAGACAGTGTTGCTCTTCTTTTACGCCCAATGCTACGCCGTCAACAAGACTGCCACATTCGAACCTGCAGTGTACATGGCGCCCTGAATCTTGCCGACAAACTGAGGGAACTTTCTTACCGAAGTTTCGTCGGGTTCTTTTCTCGACCATCGCCGTTGCAGCAAACATTGTGAACTGCTACCAGTAGGACACCACAGTCCACAGCAGAGGGTACAGATATATCAGCATCTTCTATCGCCGCTACCTGAGTCAAGTCGCCAGTAGATGAGGCAGGGTAGGAAATGGACACGGAGACAGAGAATGGTGTGTGTACTGGTACATGGTCGAAAGAAGGTAACCATATTGCATATGCACACTCTGGTCACTCTACTACCTCCCGAAACTAACCTAATGCTAGGAAGCTCGTTGTGCTTCCCCGTCAAAGCCCGTCTATGATCTATCTCCTGGCTTGACATCGCCGTCTATCACACTCTTACATCAGCATGGCTAATACAAGTTTTGACGTCCTCATTGGTAACACTCCAGAGCGCGCGAAACAATCTACAAGTGCCGGCTTTGGTCGGAGCTTTCATGTTGCCCCCCCCTTTAGCCTTCTCTAGACATATCAGGATGGCCCTGGCATCGCCGAACCGTTGACAGGAAAACTACTGATTGACGACGGCTGGTTCACCCGAACCAAGCGCCCCCAGAGGCCGTGCAGTGTCCGTGGCTCAGACGAGCAATGGGACTAACCCCAACCCGTCAGCAAATGTCTAGGTTCTGTCAAAAAGCCAAACAAAGAGCCTGCCCGGCGTCCAGGTTTTGGCCTTTTCAGCCTTCAGAAATCTCTTTTGCAAAGACTGGGGCTATACTCAGCTCTGCTAGTGGGCGACCGTTCTCCGCTCGGCCGTCGAATGGCAGTATCCCATAACCTCATATCGTGGGAACCTCCTTCTCACGCGGACTACTGCAACGCAACGCTGTGGGGTTTCAACCATTCTTGTTTGATTGCCGCCAATGTCGGCGCCTTGCTGGGGACCCAGCCCAGAAGAGGGAGCAGGGGACAGCCTCACGGGTACCTGACGAAAAGTATGTTTGGTTCTGTCCATACGTGCGCAAATGTGTCTGACATGCCCGCTTGCGCTTCTTCCGCCTCGCCCGTCAATAGTTTAGTATCGGCGTCCGTCGATCTTTGGTCCTCGCACACCCTCCTATCTTGCTGTCTTGCAATCTTCTTCGTCTCTGCCGAGCCCCTCTCCTTTGATCACCTCCCCCCGCTGTTCTATATGGCGCCGTCCTGCTCGCTGGCTGGATGACGTTGCTGAATACCCATGGCTGGAGGCGCCCCACGGTTATCTTCCTTTTGACATTTGATGCTCATCCTCTTTTTTCCCACCATTAGCCTTCGCCCAAGCCCAATATAAATCCAACTCTGTTCCCAACGCCCCCCGCGGCAATGCCTCAATCACTACCAGATACTTCCCCGGCCCGTGATCATTCTGGACCACGTTCTGTATTAGCACTCTTCCGGCGAAAGAAGCACATGGCTCAGGTCGCCGCTTTCCAGAACACGAACCACCGCCGACACAGGCACGGTGAACTCACGCAACCTCAAATGAACGGCTACAGCTCTCTCAGTGTCACGTCTCTGCACAGTCAGAAGCAGCAACAAGTAGACTTTGACGAAGGCGGCGCCGACATCCCCGACATTCCCCTGAAGCGTCCAGTCACCAAGATGTCTCTGACCCGCCCCTTGAACCCGTCGAGGTTCCAAGAGGCCTGGGAGGATGATGAGGATAGGAACTTGACCGCACATCACGGACATGGGCCCATCAACCCCAATGCCATTGCCCCCAGGCAAGATAGAAGGTAAGGAGAGAGAGATATGTGTCTGCTGTATACGTCAAGAGCAATGCCGGCTAACTACCCACCAAAGTGCTGTTCGTTCTCCTGAAATTTCACCGAGGGAAAGAGGCAGAGTCAAATCTCCTGAGCCTCTCCATGTGCAGCAGCGGCAAATGTCATCGAGCCCACCAAGGAGCCCAAGAACGCGGTCCTCGAGGTCCAGGGCCAACTCGACATCTTCCTCGTATCAGACAAACAACACTTCGCTCCCGCCTCTTCAGACCAAAGGCGCTGGCGATGACGAAATTCTTGAACCCTTGGCAGAAGAGGAGGTCGAGCCCGGCTCGTTTGATCTTGTGGTCCCATCTCACGGCGACAACGGACAATACTCGCTAGAAACCCGCTCAGAGCTCTTGTTCTCAAAGGACCATCTGCAAGCCATTTTCGACGATCACATACTCCTCCAACGGTTTACCGACTTCCTTCATTATGCCCGGCCCGACTCGCTACCCCTGTTGACTTACTTTTTGGACTGTCTGAAGGCTCTTCGTGCCATTGCGTACGCAAATGCTATCGCAGGCGGCCTCGACACTCTGCCGCGCCATGAGTTTTCGATGGTCAACACCGAGAACACAATCAATAGCTCTCTGAGGAAGAAGGCTGAAGCTGCGTTTGACGTGCTCGTTCAGCAAGATCTTCCCGCCTACATCACTCACACCTGGATCCAGACCGTCAGCGTGTCCATCAAGAGGCGTATCACAGGCACTCTGCCGGTTCAACTCAGGGAAATGTCGGAGGGCTTGGCAGAAGTGTTCTGCTTGACGGATCCTTCAAGAAACGACAACCCTATTGTCTTTGCCTCTGAGGGTATGCACATACTTCTTCACAAGCCCACTTGTCTTACACAGCAGCTAACAACCACTTACAGAATTCCACCGCACGACTCAGTACGGAATGAACTATGTCATTGGCCGCAACTGCCGCTTCCTTCAAGGTCCAAAGACCAACCCCTTCAGTGTACAACGCATCCGCGACAAGATCCTAGCCGGAAAGGAGCACTACGAAACCTTCCTCAACTACCGCAGAGACGGCTCCCCCTTCATGAACCTTCTCATGGTGGCCCCTCTCTACGACAGCCGCGGCACAGTCCGCTACTTCATCGGCGCACAAGTCGACGTCTCCGGTCTCGCCAAAGAAAGCTCCGGCCTGGACGCCCTCCAGAACCTAGTCGTCGAGAAGGAACCAGTCGGCACCATAAACGGCCAGCAGCAGCAGCAGCAGCATCAGCGATACAACAACGAGGAAGAAAAGGACGAATTCGAGGAACTCAGCGAAATGTTCAACATGAATGAGCTCGAAACCGTACGCAGACGCGGCGGAAACATGCACCGCGTGCCCCAAGATGAATCCCAAGCCGCATCCTCGACAAACTGGCAAAAGCCACGCATCCTAATCCAGGACGAATCCTCCTCCGTCCACCAAGCCAACCCCACCATACCCCTGACGAGCGGCAAGCTCTCGGGCGTCTACGAACACTACCTCCTCGTCCGCCCCTACCCCAGCCTCCGCATCCTCTTCGCCTCCCCCTCCCTCCGCCTCCCGGGCATCCTCCAGTCCAACTTCATGGACAGGATAGGCGGCTCCAACCGCGTCCGCGACGGCCTCTCCCAAGCCTTTGCCGACGGCCACGGCGTCACCGCCAAAGTCCGCTGGCTCTCCAAATCCAGCAGCGAAGGCCGCGTCCGCTGGATCCACTGCACCCCTTTACTGGGCAGCAATTGCGCCGTAGGCGTCTGGATGGTCGTCCTCGTCGACGACGAGTCCGAAGCCGGCACCAAGCGAGGAAACCAGGCGCCCCCCGTCGACGGCCGCCTCCGAAGGGCCCCCGGCGTCGCGCAACAGCTCCAGCAGCAGCAGCTCGGGGCGCAGGGCCAGCACCGCCCTTCCGTCGACGATAAAATGTCCCTCTCGAGCTTCGCGGCCATGAACCGCGCCCGCGACGAGGTGCAGGTCGACGCCCCTGCCGACTTTGACGTCGACGTCCCCTCCGATCGCCCGGGCAGTCGTGCCAGTCGCGCGAGCAAGTCGAGTCGGCTCAGTCGGGGTCCCGTCAGTGCGCTGCGTCGGCCTCTGATCCCGGGCGGGTTTGATGACCCCGACGGAGGGCCATCCCGACCTGCGTATACCGTAAGGCTGGAGGAGGATTAGTCATGCCCCTCTTCCTCAGTCACACTCTCTGTGTCTCTCTTGTCTTCTCCAAGTGTTGCTTTCCCAGGATGGGCGGTGTTCCGGAGGTGCCGTTGGTGATGATCTACTTGATACCATTACAATTCAGTGCATTAGTTTAAGCCTTGTTATATTCGGGATCCCTCTTTACAGCGCGGATATACATCTCCTATCTACCTGAAGGAATTTGAAAGAAAAGAGAAGAAGGTAAAATAATAATTCAATGTTACGTCACATAGATACCGCCGACCTTCATGCCTGACTCACATTGTATGTGTTATAACTATAACGCAAACCTCCAGGCTGATATCAGTGATTGGCTCTCTCCATGGACGAGGGAAGTAACCATTTTCGCCATGTTAATAAACCCAATGTCACAAGCTGGACATTTGCGCCCGACTCGCTTACTTGCTTACCCGCCCTGGTCCTGCGTGACCCTGCGATGTGACTCGGATTCCGGTGGGAATGTGAAGTTATGCCAGTATTGCCTAACACGACGTTGGACCGATCCGACTTTGAATCTTATACTTCCTGTCATCCGGTTATTTGACTTTTGCATTCGAGAGCAGAGTTTCTAGCTTCAGCACTCAGAAATCTACCGTTTGCACTTGGTATTGCTTCCCTTCGATAGGCAACGATACCTGCTTAGGCACAGCTTTTCATGTTTCATCGACTCGTAAAATTCATGTAGTCTAACAAGTTTGAGAGCGCTGGGAATTCCGCCAAAAGATCCCGGATCTACCCAAAAGCACGCCCTTGATGTCTATCCGCCCAAACCTCATTTGTCCAGTTATTAGCCAACTTTGGGGAACGTCAGTAATCCGCCTCTCGAACCCCCTCTGGCAATTACCCCAAACTCTGCCTATCAGAACCTTTCAATTCCGTACGTGTGAACGCACCTAGGCCTGTGCAGCGCCGGCTTGCTCCAGCAATCGGGCCCGCCAGCTGTTGCATACTTCCTCGAACCCGCCGACGACATCTCCGCATACGCTCGCGCACTCACGATTGGCCAGCCTCTCGCTCCAGTTACCTCGGTTGATCCACCTCTCGCCCTCTTCGCGGAGCTCTTCTTCCCTCTTGATCTCGGCAACCAGCTCCTTGGCGCTCTTCAACCGACGCATGGCCGTTGTGGTTGTTTGCCTGGACATGTGGAGCGTGTCTGAGAGATAGTTGAGACTCTGGACGAGGTCGGAGGTGAGAGTGTGGAGGGCGGTGAGGGAGTCGTAGGCTTTCGTCGTCGGTCGCGGCATCGACTCGGATAGCTCGATCAAAAGGGGTAGCAGCTCATCAATGGTCTCCGAATCCGGCGGCGGAACAAGTGGAGAGAGGAGTGGGAAGGTCAAGTTGTGTAGTTGCCGGGTCTGATGAGTCAAGTGGGTGGTGAGGGCCGAATGAGCGGTGATAAGTCTACTTTGGTTAGCTGACGACCACAGCCGTGGGGGAACCGTCTCGAACTTGCCTTGTCGCACTGCCCTCGACGCCGGCTTGAGAGCCCAAATCTCTCAAGCCCTCCGTCACCCGCTTGAAGACACCATCCGTAGGTCCTCCATTGCTCTCGGTCCCCCTCCTCGCCAAAGACTCGACAGCGTCCATCTTGGCGACCAGGCTGGGCAGCATGCCGGGGGAGTCAAGATCAGACTCGGATCCATATTCGCTTCCGTCGTATTCACTCCCGCTCCGTCGATGACCGCGTTGAGCGGCTGGTGGTGGCCCTAGGTTGAAGTTCTTCCCCTTGCCGCCGGCTTCGCCGAGACTTGCGACATCAACCCCGCTGTCCCTTATTCCCTCGAAGGTGGCTTCTTCAACATTGATATTTGGTGTCCCGCTTCCGTTGTTTTCGGCGTTATTTGTCTCTTCTTCGTAATATTCTCCTTCGTCTCCGGAGTCGGAGAAGGCGTCGGCCAGTTCGTCTGCGAGATTGCCTAGGCCGTTGCCTCCGCTTGCATATGAGATATCCAGAGCATCTTGGTTGTTGAAGCTGCTGCGTAAGGGCGTTGCGGGATCGGCGGAGGACCTGGATGTTCGTCTATTTTGAGGGGAGGAGTTGACGCTATTGTACTGGTACGCAGCGTCAACGCCCGAATGATTGCGCGAGTGTCCCGGAGTCTGTGGCATCGTGACGGTGTGACGGGGGAATTTTGCGATCGGTCGGTCGGCGAGAGCAGCGGCGGACGTGTTCGGTGAAGCCGTCCAAGCAGCGCTTTATGATGGGAAAAGGCCGGGTCGATGACGCTCCGCAACGTACGTGTGCTTGCAGCCCAAACAGTCGAGTATGAATGCAATGTTGTTGCTTGTCTGTCCCGGGGTTGCTGGTACAGTAATAAACAACAGGGGTTGTCGCATCAAATACACGGCAAGGAAGATCCAGGTGGAGATGGGTGCGGGAAGCGTGTAGAGAGGGCCTGGTACTGGAAAAACAGCAGTCGTGCAAAAAATGGGCTACCTTAACAGTAGTCTAAGGCGGAGCAGGAATCAGTGTTGGCGGCCCATCCCATGCATGGAAGTCAGGGAGTTTTGTGTGTTCACTGTTTGTCTGGTGGCCGTGGGCGAGGTTGAGATTATCACTGGTTTTATTAATTTCAGAGGCGGGCTGATATAGGTTCGGCGCCAGCGATCCAATTAATGCAATCCGGCGGGCTCTGCTTTGTTGTTTTGGAGACTATGTTGTAATGAGAGAGAGAGAGAGCCCTTGCGCCTGTGCGTCACTGGACCTTTCGGTTTTGGCGGTGGACATGGGCTCAAAGAAATCTCCGGGAAGAAAAATGTTGTGGAAGAAACGAAGATGATACTCGTCTTCCTGTGGCGCCTCGAGGCACACGCGCAGTAAGGCAGGTAATACTGCCGACGGACCCCTAGTGCTGTGTCTCAGAAACTCTGACCGCTGACACTGAATCCCGTCTGAATCTATCCGGAAGGGGGAAGTTGTCACTCCTGCTACTGGCAGTGGCAGACGTGGTCCCTGCATCTTGCCCATGTATCTTTTGCCTGCTTTGACCGGGAAAAGATACTTGCCAGAGCTGCACGCGCCGGTCAGCACAAGAAAATTAAAAACACGCTCCCGTTTTTCGTGCTTTCCCCCTCCATTCGCTTCCAGCCTGGAATGTGGTGGAGTCTGGACCGTTATCGTCCCTTATCTGGTACCACCTGAACACAACCTGGAAGCCGCAAGACAGCTCCGAAAAAGCTCCTTCGTCACGGCAGCTATTGATGAGGCAGTAGCACCGAATTCGACTCGACCTGCCTGTCCGGGAGCTTTGTTTGAGCACCTATTCTCCCGAATCGTCTTACACTCCTTGCCGCCTGCTAGGTACAGCTCTTTCCACCTACAATTGCCATCTCCCGACGTCAACCCCTCCCTTGGAAACCCCCTCCGTACCTCAATTGATCGCCGCCCGCGCCATACACTTCGGCCACCATGGCAACCTTTCGCTGTTTCCGTCCTGACGATGTCAACAAGTTCTCCAAGTGCAACCTCGACCCTTTGACCGAGACGTATGAGTTGGCCTTCTACCTCCAGTACCATGCCAAATGGCCATCCATGTTCCAGGTTTGCGAGGACATGAACGGCAATATCATCGGCTACAGTACGTTTGAAGCTACAGCTACGCTTTGCTCGACTTGTCTGACTTGATGCTATAGTCATGGGCAAGCTGGAGTCGTCTCCCGATGTCTACAAATATTCCGAACACTACCTTCCCTGGCATGCCCACATCACCGCCCTGACCGTTGCGCCAGAAGCGCGAAGGCTGGGTATCGGCAAGATCCTTTCCGAACAGCTGGAAGCCGCAGCCGACGCCAATGACGCCTGGTTCGTCGACCTGTTTGTTCGCACTAGCAATCACAAGGCAATCACGTTCTACAAGAGCATGGGTTACAGCGTCTTCCGTGTGGTCAAAGATTACTATGGCGACCATGCCACAGACCCTACCCGCGACGGCGAGGACGCTTATGACATGAGGAAGCCAATGAAGAGGGATGTCAAGCTCGAGCATATTAGAGACGATGGGGAGAAGCACGAGGTTGACCCATCTGATGTCTGGTGAAGAGCAAACAGCGTCATTTCTAGCAAAGCCCGACTATAATTACCTCGCACGCCTTGCCGAGCCGTCTGTGGCTTATAGCCACGCTCCATCGACTTGATAGACGCTCCCGCTCACGAAGGAGCTCTCTGGGCCAAGCAGGAACGCGATGACGTTCCCGCACTCATCAGAAGTGCCCTGACGTTGAAAAGACGTTGGCTCGTCAAAGGCGGCGTCCGCTGCGCGATCATGAAATTTCCAGGCCTTCTCCATCAACGGTGTGTAAATGGCGCCGGGGGCAACTGCGTTGACTCGAACCTCGCGGGCACCGTTCTCGTTTGCTGCCGCTCGAGTGAGCCCTATCACGCCGTGCTTACTAGCATCATATGCGCCGTGCTTGGCAAAACCTATCGAGAGCTAGTCAGCCGAGGGAAGATTCACACCTTGAGCAGTAGAAAGATGCGGCGTACCCTTGATACCATGAATCGAGGCCACGTTGACAATGGAACCGCCATCCGCTATGTTTTTGAGTTCCGCCCTGAGGCAGTACATGCAGCCTGTCAAGTTGACAGCAATGATCTTGTGCCACTCGTCATCTTCGAGGTCCGCGACGGCTCGGATGCCGTGGTGTTTGCCAATGACGCCGGCCACATTTGCAGCGCCGTCCAATCGCCCGAATTGCTCCACTATGCCCTCTATCCAGCTTTCAACCTGGTCCTTAACAGACACGTCCACTTTTGTTACAGAGAAAGGCGTCTTTTGCTCTGTAAAGTAGGCCTCGGCTTGTTTGATGGCCTCGGGGTCAACGTCTGCAAGGCATACGGTGGCACCCCGCTTCGCGATGATCTTGGCCGTTGCAAGGCCAATGCCGCTGGCACCACCAGTGAAGGCGTATACTTTCCCGTCAAGCGATGCCATCGTATCAGCAGTACGGTATCGTGTAGTCTAGGAATATTGCAGGCATATGTAATACGGTTTCATGCAGAGCGTGAGGAAGTTCACCAGCGCATGCCGAGAAATAGCTCTCGAGTGTAGAGCAGTGCAAGGTGTCCCGCGTTTCCGACGTAGATCCGCGTCCAATCATGTTTTGTGAATCTAGCTAGATCATCTGCGTTCGCATGAAGTTGACCCGGCCCGACGCAAGTGAGAGTTTTGGGCAACTCCTCACGACAGGATCAATGATGGCCGGCGGTGGAGGGCCGAGCCTCCGAGAGGTCCATCGAACAGTAGGTAGGGTAGCATATCAGTCTACAGAGTACGAGGACATTAATCATATATTGAGGTACTTTACTACTATGGAAATCAAGGTTAATGTCTCGGTTTCACACAGTTGCCATTCTCGTGGTTGGTAAAGTAGTGAATATACGTGGTAGGGAAGACTGTCGTTCAATCTCATCAACTTTGCCAAACCTTCCATCCAAACTTCACCTAACGTTGGAAAACGTGCAAACATAAGATGGGGTGTCGGAATTTACCTTGACTTGTGCTTCCAGAAGGTTAACAAACACCAGGTGACGGAGCTGGAAAGGAAGGTGCTACGCTACATGACCACAATGACTTCCCTACCTTCACTGAGGTGGTGGTTAGGTAGGTATTAGTTGGTAGTTGAATGGGCACAGGGGGTTGCACCGTCTTCAAAGTTGGGAGCTCTCCACCCCGCACAAAGCAACCCCGCCGTCTCCGCAAAACAGGGGCTCGTGGCGCGGCACTTGACGTTTGATTGGAGCCGGTCGAGTCGCGAACGCTGCTCTCATTGGTCGTCCCTAACTTGGGCGGGATCACGATGGGACCCGAATAACCTGCGTGCGATGCAGCCTTGCAAGCACCTGACCCGCTCTCCTGACGTACATCCGGCCGTCCTCCTGCAACCGCACTGCTGATCGGGTGCTTTACCTGTGACCCCCAGGCGTCACCTTCAGCTACGACCCCAGATTTCTCCAACTGTTCCCGTGTTGTCTTGGAGCTCCTACACGTAACCCAAGGCAAGGTACCTCTTGTGGTAGGCTGTCGTGGCTGTGTGCCACAAGCTGTCAGCCGGTGCTTGGAGCTACTTGTAAAACAAAGCCGAGGATGGAGAAGTGGTTTCTGGCCTGAGTCGTTTTCTTCCTGATCTCTCTTCAGCTTCACCTGTTCCCTCTGTTTGTCAAAAGCTGCCGCCCTTCTCACTCTTTTGCGAAGTTCCCAGCCTGTGTCGTAAGGAGGCGCAAACTTCACTGCACATACTTCACTTTGACACTCCCGTTGCTTTCCTTGATCGCAGCCTCTGCTAGGACTTGCTCCCGCCAAGTATCCGTCTGTTCTCGGAGCTGGTTCTCGGGACGCCTACCCCATCATGCGTTTATTCTCGTTGCTGGTCGTCGCGGCGACGGCCAGCGCTTCCACATTGACTCCTCCTGTCCTTCCCCTGATTGTTCGCAACCCGTACTTGAGCACCTGGCTAGGAAATGCTCGCGATGCGCCGTGGGAACATTGGCCCTACTTCTGGACCGGCTCCAGCGTAAGCTCTTCTTGACTTGCCGTCCGCTTCAAGCGCGCGGTCTGGCTAACTGGGGATGATCCCACTAGGTCGGCTTCTCGGTGATGGCCTCAGTGCCCGACTCTAGCACCGTCTACCCTTTGCTTGGACGGCCCCAGGATTCCTTGCCCCCGTCTTCCAAGTGGGTTTTGGCCGCTGCGTAACTTTATGTGATTGTAGATTGACATCCCACCAGATACTACAATGTGTCTGTCCCGTCCTACCTGGGCGCAACCTTTGACGCCTCGACGACGAACTTGACGTACTCGATCCCTCCTCCTCCCGGATCATCCGCGCCGGTAAAGGTTGTGCTCTCCTTCCTCTCGCCCATCACGCCCACCTCGACCTTCCGACAATCGATTCCTGCTGCGTATCTGACTGTCCACGCCGAAGGGTCTTTCGATATTAATATCTACACCGATGTCAATGGCGAATGGGTCAGCGGTAACAGGGACAACAGCATAGTCTGGGAGCTGAGCAAGGCAAAGGCCTCGCACAAGCAAAGCGCTGCCGCTCTCAAGACCTGGCAAGTCGGAAGACAGTACCCGCAGCTGCTCACCGAGTTCGCCGACCACGCGGAATGGGGTACTCTGCACTTCACCGGCCCGGCCGACGTCTCCCACCAGGCCGGCACGTCCGCGAAGCTTCGCCAGCAGTTTGCGGCCAAGGGCTCGCTGACCAATGAAGTCGATACCTCGTACCGGAAGATCATGGACGAGGAGCCGGTCTTTGCCTTCTCCAAGACCTTTCACCTGAGCAGCAAGACGGGCCGCGAGGCGACTTCTGATGATAGTGTCTTGTTCACTTTTGCTCTTGTTCAGGACCCCGTCGTCCAGTTCGCGGCTGCAAGAGGATTGACGCAGATGCGTCCGTTGTGGTCCTTTTACTTTGCCACCCCGGCCGAGCTGATCCAATACCACTACGATGATTTCTCGGCGGCTAGCCTATTGGCAGGGAACTACTCGGACCAGCTCGCCATTGATGCGTTCGCTTCCGGGTCATCAGATTACCAGGACATCGCCGCGCTGTCAGCTCGTCAGGTCCTCGGCGCAACACAGTTCTCTGGAACCCCCGATGACCCAATCCTCTTCCTCAAGGAGATCTCCTCAAACGGAAACTTCCAGACCGTCGACGTGATCTTCCCCGCGTTCCCGTTCTTCCTGTACACGAACCCTCGTTGGCTGGCTTACCTCTTGGAGCCTCTGCTGGAACATCAGCTCAGCGGACAGTATCCGAATGATTACAGCATGCATGATCTGGGTGCCCATTTCCCGAATGCGACGGGACATCCCGATGGAAATGACGAGTACATGCCTGTCGAGGAGTGCGGGAACATGCTCATCATGGCGTTGGCACTTGTCAACGCCTTCAAGTACGACACGCAGCCGGCGTTCCTCCAAACTGTCGATGAGCATGCGCACTCTCATGTTTCTTTCGAGGCGGAGAGCAGCAGTGCTCGACCTTGGGCACTCTCCATGGATTCCTACGGCATGGACCGTCGCTCGGAAGTCATCGCTATGAGGGGCTCAAAGGAGGCCGAGAAATGGGCGTCCAGATCCTACGAGCTGTGGACGAAGTGGACGGGATACCTCGTTCGCGAATCGCTGATTCCGGCCAACCAGCTCTGCACGGACGACTTTGCTGGATGGCTTTCGAATCAGACGAACCTGGCTCTCAAGGGTATCATTGGTATCAAGGCCATGGCCGAGATCTCCAACATCCTGGGCAAGACGGATGATTCAAAGTATTACACGGACATTGCGGCCGACTACATTGACCAGTGGCAAGGCTTCGGCATTTCCAGGGATGGCACGCATGCCAAGTTGGCGTACACCTGGTACGGTTCCTGGACGACCATCTACAACCTCTTTGCCGACTCGCTGCTTTGCTTCCACTTGCCCGAGGAGAAGAAGTCCACCATCGGCGGACGAGTCACCCAATGGTTCCAAAAGGCCATTGGCGTCGAGAAGCAATCAACGTTTGTCCCGGACAAGGTGTACAGCATGCAGAGCAACTGGTATCATGCTGTCTTGCAGCACTACGGGCTCCCTCTCGATAGTCGCCACCTCTACACGAAGAGCGACTGGCAGTTCTTTGCGGCTGCGGTGTCGAGCAAGAAGACTCGGATGGAGATTCTCCAGAGTGTTGCGACATGGGTCAACGAGACCACAACAGGTAAGTTGGAGCTTTGAACATCACTTTCTCACAGACGATCTTCTTTACTAACTCTGATGTGACAATAGACCGACCATTCACCGATCTCTACGAAACGGAAGGAACTGGTGGCTGGCCTGGCCCTCACTTCATGGCCCGGCCCGTTGTCGGAGGCCATTTCGCCTTTTTGGCCCTGGAGAGAGCTTGCGGGGGCAAGGCCGTCGAGGGATTGAGCTTCTTGGACAAGCCTGCGTCGTTTGCGGAGGTGAATGTCGGCAAGGCGCTCGAGGCCGAGATGGTGAGCGGAGGTGTCCTGGGTGCTGAGCAACAGGTGGTCACGGAGGATCTGTAAGGCGTGGTGGACACTCTGGCATGATGTTCTGGATACCGCCTGCCCTCCAGTTGGCAATTGGTTGAGACTGCTCAGCAACGTAGTCGTAGTATGCGGGTAACGACTAAGCGCATCTACCTGACTCTCGAATACATGATATGCTGAAACAGGGTCGATCATGACAGCCCGGGTGAAACCCTTTGCAAACAGGCGACAGATGCTGTGTTACGCAGCCCAGGCAATGTGTTGCCCTAGATGCATTGCACCCGCGTTCTGTTATTTTGGATATTCAAGGGGTTTCTGGTCTTTACTCCTAGATCGCAACAATGGCAAATACCCCTTTGTTGGCTACCTGTATACGTTGTTCATTGACACGGGGATATTGTCGCGTAGATGAATATTTACTCGCTTGGCCAAATATAGCTCTTTGCTGGGTCGATGAAAGAAGCTGCTAGATAGGCCCGAAAAATCAGAATGGGATAAAGTCACATGCATGTCTATATCCAATTCAAGAAATACCCATAGTGCATGGGTTCGGTATGGAGGTCATCCGTCGCGCAGGTCAATTCATTGGAGTAAAAAATCATCAAAAAAAGGTCCTCGCATTGGCCAACTGGCGACAGGGAGATGTAACAACCACTGGCATGGAGTCGGTGTCTTCCCTTGCTGCTGGTGCAGTGCTCGCTCACCCACGGTCCAGGAAGTGCCTGTCACCGAACCCACATTTTCTGCCTCAAGGCACTGGCAGGCAGTCAATCAATCAATCAACTCAATCGATTCACGAATGGTAAAGGTGCGCTGGATATACTACCACCCATCACCACACACCATACTGATGTCCAGCATAGGTAACTGTAGGTAGGTAGGCAGGCATTGGGTATTGTCTTCCTCTGCTCGCCTCCCTCGTTCGCCCTGCATTTTGATCAATACCAACGACAGGACCGAGCCATTGGCAGCATCGTTGCGTAACGCAGCCTGCTGCAAAAGCTGCATTTTTGTCCGCCTTGCTGATGTTCCCGTCCTCAGTTCGCCCAGAAAGCTGACCATTCAGGTGCTGCATCAACCCTGCGCCTTCCCCTTCCGTCACAAGCTAGGTAAGGTAGGTACATTCACTAGACCTGGGGTGTACCTGCCGCTGCTGCTGTGAGTAGTGATATCACAGTCTCAGAGTAGGTACCTTTAGGTAAGACAAGCAATACCCAACTGCCTTAACTACCTAGCTGCAAAGACAGGCAAGGCAGGCGCGCGCCCATACACCCGACACACACACCACACACCTCACACCTCACCCATTGACCCCGTGGACCGTCTTTCTCTCCCTCTCTACCTCTCTCTGTGCACCTCGACCACAAACGTCCCTTCCTTCACCTCATTTTCTTCACCTCTCCCTCCCTCCCACAATCGGCATCTCAAAGCATCGTCGCTTTCTCAATTGATGCCCTTCGTCGTCTAATTACTACATCGACGATTGTACCAAAAAATTTCCTACCTTCCTCCAGTCTCTTCTTTTTCTCGTACGAACCCTTTCCCTTATTTCCCCAAGGTTCCCCTTCTCGTTGGGTCCGATCCGCTTCGCATCCTCCCTTCTGACCAATCGCCGCAACAGAAGAGTCTGCGTCACCGGCTTTCGCGTCGTTGGCCAATTCTACCCACTACCAACCTCAACACTGCCAACGAACAACAACTCGTTTGTTCATTAGATCATTATGGCTTCCACCGCTATGGATTACGAGGCCGCCAACGGCGACCGCTACGATGGTTCGTTTTTTCTCGATACAGATCGCCCCCCCAAGCACGACGAGGCGCTGACAGACAAACGCGACACAGACGAGGCTCCTCGTTACGAGCGCGACAACCGCAGCGCCTCCCCTCGCCCTGCGCGTGATGACGGAGACTCTGGACGTCGTCGCTCTGCTTCTCCTTCCGGCAACGGTGACCGCGACCGCGACCGGTAAGCAAACAAATTTTTGATGATTCCCCTTTTGTTCAGACAATGTTCAATTGCTGACACGTACTGTCTTCAGTGGCGCCAAGGACGAGACTGGCTCCCGAGGTGGCGACCGTGACGATGACGGCGCTATCAACCCTGGCTCCAACCTCTTCGTCACTGGCATTCACCCCCGTTTGACCGAGCAAGAGGTCACTCGCATGTTCGAGAAGTACGGTGATGTCGAGAAGTGCCAGATCATGCGCGACCCCCACACCAAGGAGTCTCGTGGATTCGGCTTCGTCAAGATGGTTACTTCTGACCAGGCCGACGCTGCCAAGGAGGGCCTGCAGGGAGAGCAGATTGAAGGACGCACCCTGAGCATCGAGAAGGCTCGTCGTGCTCGCCCTCGCACTCCCACTCCTGGCAAATACTTCGGCCCCCCTAAGCGTGGTAAGCATTCACCCTCCTCACGGGCTTTCCCCCGGATAAATCACTAACGCGATATTTAACAGAGGGTGGCGGTGGTGGTGGTGGTGGTGGCGGCGGAGGTGGCCGTGGAGGCCGTTTCAACGACCGCTACGACGACCGTCGCCGCGGAGGCTACAGCGGCGGCGGCGGCGGCGGCTATGGAGGCGGTGGCTACGGAGGTGGTCGCGATGACCCCTACCGTTACCGCGGATACGAGCGCCGTGGAGGCTACGAAGACCGTGGCGGTGGCTACGAGCGTGGCTATCGCGAGGACCGTGGCTACGACCGCAGCTACCGTGAGGATCGGGGCGGCGCTGGTGGCTCCGGTGGCTCCGGTGGCTACGAGAGACGCGAGCGTGGTGGTGACGACACTTACAGCAGCAGCGGTCGCGTCGATCGCTACGGCGGCGGTGGTGGCAGCGGTGGCGGACGCGAGGACCGTGGCGACCGCTATGCTCGCGGTGGCGATGACCGTCGTGGCGGCGGTGCTGCCGGCTACGAGAGACGCGAGCGCACTGGTGACGACACCTACAGCAGCAGCCGTGACCGTCCTCCCCGCGATGCGCCTGCCGGAGGTGCGGCTTACGCCGATGCCCCTGCTCGCTCCGAGGGTCGCGAGGCCTATGGAGGTTGGAAATCCTAACTCAAGTGCTATCACTGTGGTCTTGATGCTAACGTGTCTAGGCTCTCGCTAATTTCTTAACGCTCTTTCCCCGAGTCGTCAATACGCCCGGTTTGATGGCGACTGACGGATCATCCCTTTCCTCTTTCCTAGTTCGATCGATTACGGCGGATATCCCAAAAATTGCGTCTCATGAAGTTCTTGTGCACTACAACTAGTATGGGATGGATCACAAAAATGGGAATTTTCGGCCTGCGTGGTTCACGGCTTTTTAACCTCGGTTTCTCGGTAACTATGACTGTACGCGAGGATCAGCTGCCTTTCAAAGGGGGTGCTGTTTCTCAAGTCGGTCTCTGCAGTCGACGAATGTTTGGCGGACTCTATGGTAGCTATGGCAAACAATCAACGCGGCAAAAAAACGGCAGGCATCGACAGGTGACAGTCACTTCCCCCTCGTGGATCAGCACTTTCGTTACACCACATCGTGGACCTGCGGCGGTCCACGGTTGTTTCTACGCACCACTTTCCACCTTGTACCATTATCTATCGCGTCCCACATCGGGGTCGAGTCGAGTTTGAGACGGCTTCGCAAATCCGACATGGCTCTTTCGATGCAATTATCAGCATGATAAGATGTTGACCAGCAATGCAACATGAATGACAACCACGTCCCTTAATACAACTAAAACGTAACTGTGCCGCCTGAACGCCTCTATACAATTTCAACCCTCATATCGTAAATGAACCGCCTCTTTTTCCGCCATCCACATCCTCTGTTGTTCATTTAGTCGTCATGCCAGCACAAATCAGTGGCACGGGATTCAACGAAGTCGTGGCCCTTGCTTCGCCGCGTCATTCTAATCGCCCACCTCCAGCGCTCCTGGGCCGTGTCTGGAGAGTCACATGGTCTGCGTGATAACCAAGCACAAATTTCGTTTCGAAGGTATCTCCCCCAAAGTGAATTGAACCTAACTAACGCTTTAGCAAAGCCAACGCTTTTACAGTGAAAAGTCGTTTCGGTTGGAATGTGGATGCCTGAAATAGCCTTGGCGTCCATCACCCACATTTACTTCGCTACCTTATTCTACTTCCTCTTTTCGTCAGCTTTCCCGACTTGACGCGGGCGACTAGACCAGTATGGTCCCCAACGCACAGTGTAGCCCGGCTGTCGGGCCTACCCCATTTAGATGTCTGCTGTCTCAGTCTCGACGCGGGGTTTGCCTTTCGCGTTTTGGTTTGAAAACATTTCTCCCGATCCCATACGGCTTCTGACAGGGCTTTCCCTACTGCTTTAAAGAAGTTGCTCAATGGCAGCGTGGCTAAACCCTTGATGAGATCTGCTGTGTCTGTGTACAGCCTGCAGCCAACGTAGGCTTGCGCCACCCGCGTCGAAATAGCCTTCAATATCGAGCGCATGAGTCACGTATGATTTGTTGGATTGGGCAGATTCTGTGCAGGTTCTCGCCTACATAAATTCGGAACCTCCATGAGGTCGGCCAACACTTCAACGTTCTACCACTGGGTAGAAGAACTGCTATACACCTTGAGTCTGAGCGACGACTGACAGTGCGAACTAGACAGGCATTAAGATAGCTTGTTACACATTATAAACACATGAACAGACAAAGTCATTGAGCAGAACTCTGGAGTCCATCGCGTTGCATCAATTATATGAGAGTTTGGGAATCATTCATCATTCAGTCGTGACTACTACTGCAAGTACATGATCTAAAACCTACTCGGCCTCAGTCGTCTCTTTGTGCCTGTGACTGGTTCGGCGCAGGCGCAGGCGCACCAATAAGCCAGCCGACGCCCGACGTCAACGTGCCCATTGCCGCATCGCGGAGCTGATCGCGTTTCCTCGCCCTGGGGTGGTCATCATGCCCGTCCCATTCGCTGTCAGGCGCCGACCCTGACGCAGCCGGCTGAGCCGGGGCGGTGGCAGCGGCAGTGCCACCGCCGGCAGACTGCTGTAGCGTCGAGAGTGCCGTGAAGTTGCGAGTCGCCGCTCGGGCCGTTGCCCGCGAGAGGTCGAACAGCGACATGGGCGCGTCGTCCCCTGCCTTGCTCGCAACCGCGGCGGAAGGGCGGGTCTGCCGTTCGCCTGATGACCGGTGCGATCTTGCCGCCGCAGGGGCTGCGTCGAAGCCGCCGGGCATACCAGAGTGCTCGTCAATGTCCTCTTCACGCGCGGCGTCCTCTTTGAGAGCCGAGTCGAGCTGCTCCTCGCAGCGACGGAACGTTTTGAGGATCTCCTGTAGCTGCGAGGGAGGAGCGATCCGCAAGGCCGTCGCGAGGCAGTCGATGCGCTGTTCTAGGTGCCGGATGTCGGGGTTCCCACTGGCGTTGCCCAGGTGTGTCGGGCGTACTGTTCGGGCACTCCTGATGTACTGTCCCGCCTGCAGGGCAGCCCTCCAGGACCAGTTGTCGTCGACCTTTACCGTGGAGCTCATCGATGCGTCCGCCCCGCCGCTGAGCCGGTTGACGATGTACGAATACGCCGTCTCAAAGTCGTCCTCTTTCAAGGCTGCTTCGATACACATGGCTGTGATGCGTTGCCGCGCAGCATCGACTTGCTGCCCATCTTCTACGGGTTGAGCTGCGGCGACCTTCTTGTTGTTGCGGTCCACGAGTCCGGCGCGAACCATGTTGGTCCCCACGTCCAAGAGGTCCTGGATGCGAGTGTAGCTCTTTGGGTTCTGCTCCAGAACCTTGCCAATGATGGAGACGGGATCTGAGTGAACGCGCAACACGATGGGGCTGAATGGCTCGCCTTGTCTCAGGACCAGTCGGTATTCGCTGAGGGCATGCGTTGCTTTCAGCAGGGAATCGATGCGCCGCCGCTCAGGGAGAGACTTGTGAATCGTTTGAGGGAAGGCATTGATACTGAGAGATTGTTAGTAGGAACACCGCCATGATACAGGTTTTTCTACGTACATCTCGTCGCATTTTTTGAGGCCACCCCTCGCGCGGCTCGGGTTTGACGCATTGTCGTACGCGTTAAGCGCAGCAGCTACGATGGTCTCCTGCACTGTTTGCGGTGACAGCGGCTTGTCGGCATCGTCCTCGTACAGGGACCTTGCCAGCGAATATCCTAATCATGGTTAGCAAAGCATAGTGATGGGTCATTTTATGGTACACATACGTGCACTAGACAGGAGTGCCCTCAAGATCTCGGTCTCGATGACTTCTGGCTTGACTTTGGCAAATATTCCGATCACCTTGCCCTCTGGCGTAGGAGCAATGCTCCAGTTCCAGAGCCAAAGGACTTCATTTCGTGCCTTTACCCAGTACGTTTCGTCGTTGTTAGGAGCTTTCTCGGCCAGTGTGTGTATCAGCTGGACTACCTCGGCCTTCTGGTCTCGTTCATCTTGGATGAACGCCAGGTCTCCGGCCCTCTTGATAGTGCAGGGTAGTCCGGATTGCGTCAGAATGAAAGCGCTGAGAATCAGGGCGTGGAGAAGGTGTGTTGACTTTCTCGAGGGCTTGGTGAGAGGGTTCGAGTCCTTGAGCAGATCGTCCCGCATGAAGGCAGTGTTCTTGTGGTTCAAGATCCCATCGCCTTCCAAATGAGCAACAGCAGATAACGTGTCTGCGCCCTCGCGCAGTGACATCGTGTCATCCTGGCCCAGTAGGTCCATGACCTTCCTCAACATTTGGTGTGCTCCTTCGAGAGCTTCTATACTGGCCTCCGGTACCAGGTAAGCGCACGCCATGATTGCTCGTGCATAGCGGCGATCGAGATGCTGCTGCTGCTGCTCGCTGAGCCATACAACATCATACTCTCCCAGATCCACGTCTACAGCACCTCCCCATTGCTCAACGGCAGCAACAGCCACTCTCCAGGAGCTCGAGCTCTTGGAGAGAAGCCATTCAAGGAAACGCTCCCACCCCGCACTATAAACGCCCTCGTCTGTTGATTCAGACTCCTCTACACGCTTCCACCGGGCGTCGTCATGCAGCCAAGGCACAAGCATGCCTCTGAGATCTCTCCCGATCAACCCGTAATCCTCCGACTGCACGCCCGTCTGGGACAAAAGAGCATCGATGGCGGCGCCATCAGGGAGACTCTGGAACTCGGCCAACGTGTACGGCACACTTTCGGTCGGGTAGTATTCGTAGTTCCTCCTTAGCAGCGGCAACAAAGTTGAGACCATCCAGACCCGGATACCTGGAGCATATTGTATAAAAGGCCCGAGTAATTCGGGAAGCTGGCTTAGCAGACCGGCTTCTTCGTCGACACGGTGGGCTCGGTGGAGGAGGAATAAAGCCAATGGATCATCGTCGGTTTCGACAGTAATATCCTTTCTAGCTAAAGGCAGCAAGTGGAGTTTGCGAACCTTTTTCGCAGCATCCTCGTCCGACAGATTCTCGACGATGGAGTAGTCGATGTTCTCAGCTTCGCGGTCGATGAATTCGCCAGTCGAAAGTTCCTCCAAAAAGGCAAGGTAATCGCTAGACCTGACTGTCTCGGGCAGATAGGTCAAGAGGACGCGCAGAACGAGATCCTTGCGTAGGACGGTGGCATGTCGGGAGGCGAGAAAGGCCAGACTTTCAATATCGGCATGGATGGCCAAGTGGACAGCCAAAAGCACGAGCTTCGGCGGGGATAGAACGAGGCTCATTCTGCGGGAACTTGAGGCATATCCAATCTAGCGTGTCGTCGAAAACTTCCACTGCAGGCTGACCACGAAGCGCTGGACTGATGTGGTCAGAGGAGCTATCGCGAACCGATGTCGGTATATCGGGATCTTGAACAAGTTGACAGGTGCAAGCGCAAGTGCAAGTGGGCACGGGCATCAAGGTCCAACTCCCCGAAGCGTGTTCAGTTGGGGGACTTGGGGTGCATGCACTTACCTTTGGTAGGTAGCGTCGTCATAAGATAAGGTGCTGAGTGGAGTGATTGCCGCAGTGCCAGGTGCTCCGATTGGCAAAGCGGGTCGATCCAGGGAGGCATAGACGCGCGCTAGCCCCGAGAACTCACGGTCTCGGCGGATATGCCATTGGAATCAGGTACCTTCTGATAGGACGAAATTTACCAGACAGCCGCGGACTCTTCCATTGGCACAACCACCATCCGGACTTTCGACTTCGCGATTGTGTCTCCACGACAGTTACCCGACGACTCGAAGCTTCACCAACCCACCAATCGGCGCTTGTATATCCACAATGGCCTCTGGATACGGACTTCACGGAGGTAATCTTCCATTCCCGTTGCCATTGATCCCGTACTGATCCTATGACGCCGGCTAGGCCCATCGCGGTGCTTCCCCTACTGGCAGGAGCTCCTCGGCTGCTACGTCGTCAACACCAGCGGCGAGGACCACTCGGAGAAGAAGAAGTGCGGTTTGGCTCTGGAGGATTACTACGAGTGCTTGCACCACAAGAAGGAGGTCTGTCATGCCCCTCAGTCCATTAACTTCTCAGCCCCGACTTCTCAGCCCCGGCAATTCCACCAAACAGAGGACCGATCACTAACCAGTGGCACGAACCCATATAGGCTGCGAGAACGAGGGCGCTCCAGGCTGCCTACCGAAAGGCCGAGTCGGCCAGTGCACGAGACAACGCACCGAGCGCGGGGCAAATACGCAACCTGGGACTACTCGGCAAGGAGGATGACACGAAGGCTGTAACGGGGTCGGGTTGAGCGAGATAAAGTTGAAGCCAGGCCCGAGAGGGGCGAAACAACATGTACATGGCGCGAACCGGATAGGTAGCTGCTGCAGGCACCAAATGATCAACACCAGTTTTCTTTTCAGTGCATGGGAATGGAATGCTTGCGTACAATTTGGAGATCCAGGGATGTGTCAGTTTCAACTGAGACGAGGCGCAATCTCCACCAGAAGATTGAATAGCGATGAGGCACTACCCAGTATATGGATGATTGTGGTGATGGTGTTCTCATGCTGAACTCAAAGCGGCATGCTTCTCTTTCGCCATCTAAGGAGATTGTGTGGGTGAAAGGAGAGGAAACAATTGACAGCGTAAGCTTGGACTTGCTGGCGAAAATCGCGAGTAACGGTGGCAGGAGCAAGCGGCAGGAGCAAGGTAATAGTACACAGAGGGAAGGTGCAGTCCAAAATTCACTGGAAGCCGCACCTGCCCTGGAGAATGACAGGATTCAGTCGACGAATCACACTCAAACCACGTCACTACCTACCTACCTTACCTACCTTCGTTCCCTTCCTTCACTTTCAAGTCTCTTTCTGCAACCTTCACGGTTTGCATGGCAGACCACGTCTGACTCCCTCGCCCAGCAATCACCAATCGTCAGCAATACAGACACAATGCCCAGCTTCAGGGGCATCGACGTCTCGATCGTGCCCGGTCCCAACATGGAGGGGTTGCCCGAGCTCCCACACCCAGAGTCCTCCTCTGTCCGACTTCGGGGTCCTCATGCAGCAAGCCCGATGTCGACCACAGCTTCCAGCTTCACCTCAACGCCAGAGAAGTGTAGACCTACAACATCCGTCTACATTCCCTCGTCGCCAGGTTCGTCACTACCCTCGCTTGCTTCCTTTACACATTGCATGGGTTGGCGGCGACTGACATTGATCACATAGGATCCCAGTTCCACTTGAGATACTCAATCAACAAACCTCCCACTGATAGAAAATTCTTGTATTTCAGAATGACCATGAACGGCCGTCAGGTAGTTTCTTGGGGTATCAAGTCGCAAGCCACCCAGAGCCAGATCGTCAGTCATGCCTTGTACGAGCCCGATACCAAGTGGCACTATCGAGAGTGTGGCGTCACTTATAAGCGTGAGGGCGTTGAAAAACGTTTCTTCCACTTCGCGCCGCGCTCTGAAACTTCCGCTGCGATGGATGGCGGCCTTATCGATCTTCAGATTTTCCGATCCTACGGACGAAGGAGGAGAGCGCCTCAGCTTGACGACTTTCGCAGTCAAGACCAGTATGGTATCACGTAAGAACATTTCGCACCCTCCACCCAAACACCTTGACTAATTCTACCCGTGGCATAGATCACCCACAGGAGGCCTCGTGGAGTCACCCCAATATCTCACATTCTACGACTGGGTTCTCGTCGATCCTGTTGACTCTCCATTCGCCACATTTCGCTTCTTCTACCGCACTTGGGAAAACTTGAAGGCGCTGAACCTCGTATCAGAGGCGCATTATGAGGAACTGATGGCCTTCAATGCACAGAGTGGACAGCTGCCGAACAGACCCAAGACGCCAAATCACAATGAGACTGAAGGTTACACTCGCACCCAACTGAGACCATTCGGTCTCGAATCTCTTGACGGGCTTGTCTTTGAGGACAACAACACGAGTCGGAACAAGATGAGAGGGAGGCAGAACTCAGCCGCTGAGAGAGATTTCTACCTTGAAACACCACCCAAGCTCGCTCCTCCGGCCTTGAACCTGACCAGAATGCCTCAGCCCAGCAAGCTAGCACGAGAGATTCGGAAGGTGTCAGACACCCTTCGACCTCTACCAATGCTTCCTGATTTTGAACCTCCGATCCGCAGGCAGTCGTTAGAATCGACAAGGGCACCGTCAGTCACCCCGTCGCTCTTACCGTACATTGACGAGTGGAGTGGTGGTGACGAGTTTGAGCTTGGGGTTGCCAGACGGGTGATGCTGCCCTCGCTCTCTCAGGAACTCCCTGAGATGGACCCGCGCCGTCCTCTCCCTTCTCCCCCCCGAGGACTTCCAGCATCTTCATCTGACTATGACATGACGCCTCCTTCTACGGGCGGCTTGGAGGTCCTCAATCGGGTTGGGAGGCAACAGTACATCGCCGCAGCGCATGCGAAGTCGATGAGGCTGAGAGGTTCATCCATTAGCAGTCTGGGTTTCTCGGGGAATTCCAGACGGGATCATAGGGCCGTCGGTTCCGACCCCGGCATAACGTCAGCTGTTGATAACTTTGACAACATGAGCCTCTCTGAAGGAGAATGGCTCAAGCGGAGTCCATCGCCTTTGCGTCGCAGACATGGAAGATTGAATCTCAACATATGGAAGGCTCGAGACACGAACGAGGGTCAGTGAGACTCTTAGGTCAAGAGGATGTGTTCGGATTTTCTGTAGGAATGTTCCAGCTATAGGGTCAGGGACGCATTTGTGGAAAGAAAGGGGGACTTGCACACTGGTCAACTCGCAGACCATGTAGAGAAGAAGCCAAAGTTTTGCTGAGAAGTCCCGGGAGTTACTGGCCATAAGAAATAAGAAACTTGCACAGGTAGTTCCAGTATACGAAAATGTGAAGCTTTAGTGAACGAAGACAGGGAAACGGACATGGATAATCATCAGCACTTTCGAGAAAGGAAGGAGCTACCTGAGAATAGGAGGAGCGCTATAATGGTAGGATATTCTAATTGACCAATGGCGTTATTGATGGTCTTCGTGTGGTCAGTCTCACGACCGGCCGGTGTCAGCGAATATGGTCGACGGCTGCCATCGTCACTGTCGTTGGCGAACGCAACCTTAGACTTCGTAGTACTTGAGCGAGGTCCTTTACTCGTCTTCTGCTTGCTTTTGCAAAGTCCAGAAGCTACATGATGCCGTCTTACATGTTTACTTATCTGTCCTGAAGTACTCCTTGCTCAATACGTCGACGACGACACGGAAGTATGTGAACGGGGCTATATGAAATTACATCTCCCTTAGGGGTATAATGTTGCTGCTTTTGATTCTGATAGATCTCGGCAAGGTTGGTAAAAGCAGAGAGACTCTGGCACATCCCTGACTCATGTTGATAAATACGGCACTGAGTGACGCCTTAAATGGAAATGAGCATGTTTAAGCAGAAACTGCAGATAATCTTGTTTCTCACTTTCTCATCTGTTTACTAGTTGTTCTGATATTCTTTAAGATCAGTCTCTTTGCACTGATGCTTTCTTACTCGTCCAAGACATTCGTGCTAGAAACTCTGACTTTGGCTACAAGCAGAATCTAAAGAATACTCCTCAGAGCCATATCTAATTGTCCAAGTCCAGAGAAACGGCGTATCTCGTACGGCGTATACAAAACGCCGAGGGCTCTACATCACCACCACCTCTCACACAGAACCCGCTCAGGTCTGAGACTCAACCCGCTCTTCGACGTGAGGCTCTCGACCAACTCATCCGTCATGGACGGTATCTCGCACACATACACCAACGCGTCACCGCGTTCCTCTTCGGGCCCCAAGGCCTCCGCCACATCCTCCAAACCCATACGACGTCTCTTAAACGGGACGTCTATCTCGTTACAATGCAGAATTGACCCATCGGACTCGGAAGATAAGGGACCAACGCCGGTGAGGAACAATCTCATTTGACCACGGACCTTTTCCCGGCCGAAAATGCTCGCCAGCCGCTCCATGAAGAGGATCTTTTCGGAATCGAGGCCTTCCGATGGGGCCTTTGTCGAGTACATGAACTGGACGTCATATGGACAGCTCCCTGCTTCAGCCAGGTGACTAACAATGCTCATGAGCGGATTCACACCGACGCCGCCAGCAATGAAGACGATTCTGCGTAGGGAGGCGAGATCAACGTCTCCTTCGGGAGGCGGCCAGACAAAGGACCCGCCGACGCGGACCTGGATCTCGGGTTTCTTCTCTCTTTGGGTGACCGCGCCGTCGTCCTTACCCTTGTCATCGACCTCGTTGACGGGTTGGTCCCAGAGCCAAGCGGCAGCCGGATTCATCGGCGACTTTTTCACCGCGAGCTCCAGGTACGCCGAACTAGGCAGGATGGCTTTGGATGGCGGGCTGGTGAGCGTGAAGCCGCCTGCTTTGGGCACGCCTGGGACGTAGGTGTCGAGCCATTGGCCCGGGAGGAACTTTTGGTCAAAACAACGAGTAAGTACGTGCGTCTGATCAAATGATTTGGGCCATGCGAGGCACACTCGAGGTTCCTTGACCAGGGATGAAAAGTTTCGCGCCGCGTAAGTCGTCGTGTAGGTGAACCCTCAGCCTTGAAGGGCGGCGGGTAATATGGATGGCGCAACCGGACGTACCTCGATCCTCGACCCCTCTTTAACACCGAGCCGAAAGAGACGAATGTTTTCGTTTACGGCGTTGACTCTGATTAATGTGACGTTATGTAATGCCTGCCCTTTCCCATTAATTAAAATTCAAGAATTCGATTGGCTACGTTATTAAGAGCTTGGTTTGGGGCTTCCTTACAGAATCTCTAGGTTGAGCCGCCGTGCGCTCGGCATGCGACGTTGACGTTTCACCCGACTCCTTTGCCATATCGTGTGAGAATCGAGCTTGTAGTAATACAGGGTGAAATCGAGGAGAGCGGACGAGACAATGACTGGATTTGAGGGCGAGAGAGCCTGTACGCGGTCGATACATTGGTTTGGTGTTGATGTTGATGTTTGGCTCCGCTATCAAAGAGGTAGGTGGGATGTATGGATGGGATGCCCGCACCGAGGTCGGAGAGCTCGGTCAAGTATCTACATGTCATCGCTCCCGCACTGGGCCATGGACTACAACACAAAAGATGCATAGATAAGAATTGTCGCTTCGAAGCCAGAATTACATATGGTATCACAGATTCAGACTTATAAGAGCCATGTGGTTTCAACGACGGTGTACTTTTCGTTTGCGCCCAACCTTTTCATCCTCGCAGATTGTTCTATTTTTTTCAATACGCTTGCCTTGTCATAGTAAGTATACAAGTCCAAGCCATGCTCAAGTCCACGCCACCACCCGAAAAGACAATTGTGTCAAATCAGGACGGCTCGGTCCAGTTCACCTGGTCCATCACCTCCCCAGCAGATGAATGCCCGTAACCGATCCTCAGACGTAATCGCAGCGGCTGCGAGCAAGTTAGCAATGTGAAGGGAAAAAAGAGCTAGAGCAAAGAAGGGGAAGAAACATACTCCCTTGGCTCCAGACACAATCATTCTCTGGGTGGCTTCGGCACCAGGACCGACATCCGTGCTTGAAATGGCCATGAGTTGCAGCTTCTGCGTCTTGGGAACGGCTGCTTGTAATCCCACATTCGAAAGAGAGCCAGACCCGGAGTTTCTGAAGCGACCGATGACCTGAACCAGACCCTCGGCGTTGCGTTGGATCTGGAAGCTGACATTGAGACCGTTGTTGTCGTAGACAGGAAGGCCTGCCGGTGCCTGCGAAGCGGCCTGCGCCTGGGGCGGAGGAGTTGCCGCGGCGGACATGGAAGACATCAGCTCCATATTCGAGCCACCCATGACTGGTACGGGGGAGCCCATTGGTTGAGCAGGGCCTTGGGAGAAGAGGTCCATGATAGAGGCGGCCTGGGATTGCTGCGGGCCAGGCGAAGTCGAAGTGGGGGGCGATGAGGTTCCGCCTAGAATATCGGCGAGGAGGTCAGTGTTAGAAGCACCGCCGGCCGCAGGCGTTGTTGTTGAAGGTGTGTCCATAAGGTCGAATAGGAGGTCCTGTTCGGTCGGCTTGACGACCCTCGATTTCCGGTTGGCAGCCTTTGCCTTCTTTGTGGTGGTCGCCGCGCCCAGCACGCGGGATTCTTCCTTAATTTGAGGCGGCGGCATCTTCTCAAGAACACCAGAGCGGATCTGGTCGTACGAGAACAAATTGGTGTACTCAACAGCTCTTTGCTGCACCTCGACATCCAGACTTGTCTGATGGACTTCAAGCAAACGGCGGATGCGATCGAGTTGTGCAGGATCTGTTAGTCTTGTCGTCAATTTAACGAGAGCCGTAACGATGTACTCGGTGGAAACCTGAGTTGCGTGGTTGCTGTTAAGAATGGTCGTGAACAGGTCAATGAGTTCATGTTGCTTAACCTCCCGCACCAGTTCCTCCTCTTCATATTGCCCACCCTTCAACAGAGCATCACCGTATTCGCCGATGCACCACGCTCCGGATTGTGTCAGACTCTCCTGCGTAATATCCTTCTTCAAATTGATGTAGAGTTTCTGAACGGCATAGGTCTGCAGTTCAGGGGTAGTGGCCACCAGTCGGATAAAGGATGACATGATGGGCTCCTTGACATAATTGCCGGCGAGCGTCAACACTCGCAACATGGTGTCGACGTGCCAACGCTTGTTCGGTGCAAACTTGTCGGCAGCAATGCCTATTTGACTAGTCATGGTAGGCTTGAACTCATTGTCGGCGACCTCCAAGAACGCAAGCAACTCCCGGATGAGGACCCGCACATTGCTCTCGTTGATGAGCGTAAAACTGAGTTCGAGCGCTCGCCTCCTGATACTGATGTCCGGGTCTCTCAAGCACTCCAAGATAGTGTTGCGGTGTCTCTGGACAGCGTTTGGCTCGATTGCAACCACCTTGATGAGGGTGTTGAGCGCAACGTAACGGATGTTGTTGTCGCGGTTAGAGAGGAACTTGCCCAGAATGTTGACACCGAGTACACGAAGACCAGAATCCGCCTCAATATCGAGGATCGTGAGGACAGCCTCGTACAAGATGGAGTTTCCGACGTTCTTGGAGGAGTCCGTATTCGTCGCAACCTGTGCCAGAATATCGTTGATCTGCTCACTGACGTGTGCGTCGCCTGTAGCCAAGGCCCTGAGGAAGCGGAGGATCTTAACTTGCACAAACGGATCGCTGATACCTGTGACGTCATGCTCGGGAGCATACCCAGAGGTTGCAAGCGCCTTGAGCGTCTTGACCAAGTTTGGTACAAAGACCTTGAACTTCTCGACAATGTCCTCGTCACCGTCCGCGTCTTCCTCCTCGTCGGCTTCGCAGAAGCTCGTCGCCAGGGTCAGGCCGCACAGCTGGACGCCGTGGTTTCGGTCAGCCAGTAGGTTGCTGACCTTGTCCACGAAGTGCTCTTTCAAGTCTGGGACCTTGCGACATATCCGCATGGCACAAAGGGCCGCCTTCCTTCGAATATACGGGTTCGATGTGTTGACGCAGGCCTCGACTTGCTGGAATAGATCTCGCGACATCTCAATGGAGGCGATGTTACCCAGGGTGCAAAGGGCCAGACCGACGACATACTGGTTCGAGTGTGCAAGGTCACTATTCAATGTCAGCTCTGGATACAATGGCCAAAGTGTGTTGTCGGTGCCTACTTCTGAAGCGAGTTTGTCACAAGCGTCAAGACCTCTTGGTTTTCGTCGAGCAGCAAACTAGTAGCGAGGTGGCCCAGCCGCTTGTCGGCGAACCGTGGAGAAGCAAGCAGCTTCAGACATTCGATCTGACCAAAATGTGTTCTCTCACCGAGGGTGAAGAGGTATAGAAGCTTGGCAACATTGTTCCGCCTGGTTATTAAACGTCAGCCCCGATCCGCAATGGTATTCCTCTTGGAATCACAATCCATTGCGCACCTCACGCTGTGGTCGCCGCTCTCTTCTCTGAAGCTTGCTCGGATAGAGGCACTCTCTTTCTGGATTACGGCTCGTTCGTCGGCGATGGTCTTGGCAGCACGAACGTTGCGGATGAACTGCTTCACTGGAGTGTCACCTAGGTCAGCTCCAGGCCACCGAGACAGGTACAGAGGGGCTTTATCGCACAAGAACTCATGTTGGGCGACCGGGGGGATGGGCCCGCGGAGGGCCTTGGACAAGTAGCTGGGGCCTGGGGAGAAGATTGCTCGGAGGGGGTTGCAAGCTCGTCGAGAGCTCTCGAAAGTGCGAGTCGCGATTGTCGAGGAGGTCCTTAAGGGTCGTGTTGCGGTAGACTTGCTAAAGGCCGAATAGACCAGATAGACGGGGCCAAGGATGTCAGGCCCGGCGGGTTGAGCGACATGCATCCGTGGCCTGGCATTGGAGCCTTTGGAGGTGCCACCGTGCAGCGCCGTCACAGGTGTGGGGCCGATGTGTAGAATTGGCCCTACATTTCAGGCGTAAACCAATTTGGTACCTGACAGACCTCCAGAGGCTGCAATAGGGGGGCTTTAGGGGTCCTTCAGCGTGCCGTGTACCGTAGCTGGCACCCATGTCCTCTGGATTCCATTGCCCGTGGGGTTTTGTGCGCCTGGGCTTGGGATTCGAGACTCATCTCAAGAGTCAGAGATACCTCACATTCTTCTGAGACCTGATGAGCTGTTGACCACGTCTTGCTCATACTACATCCAAATCAGGTTACACTCACTTCTAAGAGTATCTTTCAAACTTGGACTCTGAATGTTAAGTTCCTAGCAGCGGTGGATGCCACTGGCGATACATCGTGCCACATGTTGTCTACCTCGCGTGTACTGCACCAAGATCTTCCAAGACAACCCAAGCAACCAAGATGATATTGATGACAAGCAATTGCAGCCCCAAGGTTGCTTCAATATACGCATACTTGGGATATATAGAGGGGCGGATCGGGGCGGTGCCTGCAGCCCTGCCAAGCTAGATTGCTCTGCCGGCCTAGCTCTTTGGTTCAGGATATTCCAGGCCATGGGTAGCGTGATAGGTCATGATATCAAGATTATCTATCCATATAGACTCCTATCGTTTTCTGAACAAGCTTACACACCTTCTTTGTTGCCCTCTTAGTATGTGACATTAGTCCGGGTATGAAAGACCGATTTGCCAACCAAGTGAGTGCTCATCACAATGATTGGCATCATATTCAAACATGTGATACTCGCCGCCGAGAAGCCGCGACAACATACACGAATTTTGCACTAGATCACAAGTAACGTTGAGTTTCGCAATGGCAATTGATGAACGCGCCGGGTTGATTGACTTTTGCATTCGCCGCCCTGGAGGAGACCCCCTTCTAAGCGTAACTCCCGTATCATTCAAAATAAAGTCTTGTGTCTGTGTCGGTGTAGGTGTAGGAGAGTGTGTTCGTCAAATAAGCATCGTGATAGAACGGGAATGAAACAGGCAAGCGTGCTGGCAGCGAGACGAATGCATAGAGCCCCCCTCAACCGTCCGAATATCAAACTCGTCCTTTCGCTGGTTATTCTCGTATGGCAACTCCCACGGTCTAAAAGGATACCTTCTGACCAGCCTGACCCTTTGAAACCTATTCGTGTCGTTCCTCGCAAGAAACAAATGCTGCGCGGCCAATGTCACCGTGCCGGTGGATGGGTTCGACCTACAGCCGCTCAACCAACTTGACGCCTTACTTCTGCATCATGAGTTGGACGAACTCGTTGTCTGGGAAGGTTTGTTAGCAACATGAACAGCAGCAGCGGGGACATGTAGGACGTCTCCTTACAGTCGATACGTCCATCACCGTCCTGGTCAGCCTCGCGAATCATCTCATCAACCTCGTCGTCGGTGAGCTTCTCGCCGATCGAAGTCATGACGTGGCGAAGCTCGGCGGCGGAGATGAAGCCGTTGTTGTCGCGGTCAAAGACCTGTCTCTGGTCAGCACTGTGTCGATGCGCGTTGCGCCAGCTCTTCTCACCTTGAAGGCTTCACGAATCTCCTCCTCGGAGTCGGTGTCCTTCATCTTGCGGGCCATCATGGTGAGGAACTCTGCACAAGGTCATTCGTCAGCGAGCCGATCTCTTATGGGCGGTTGCCAGCTGTTATCGTGTAGACCTACCAGGGAAGTCGATCGTTCCGTTGTTGTCGGCGTCAACCTCGTTGATCATGTCCTGGAGCTCCGACTCGGAGGGGTTCTGTCCCAGGGAGCGCATGACGGTACCGAGCTCCTTGGTTGTGATTTGTCCTGTCCGAATTCTTTAGTCCCGTGTCCTGAAATCTACATGATCAAGTCTCGAAAATGTGCTAATGCTGGTCTCGTATCGAAGCGGTCGCGGGAGTCGCAATAGTAGGGGCGCGGGGTCGAGAGAAAGGGAAAGGGGGGATGAGGTACTGACCATCGCCGTCCTTGTCCTGTATTGATGGGTTAGCTAAGTCATGTTTCGATGAGGTAGGAAGACATGGAGTGACTTACAAAGAGGGAGAAGGCTTCCTTGAACTCGGAAACTTGCTCTTCGGTGAGGGAGTCAGCCTAGATTGAAGGTAGCCGTGTCAGTTCAGCTCGCCGAAAATAGCGTCGGTAGCCCCTCAGTCGCGGGGTTACCTCACAAGAGGTAGGTAGCATGAAGGCGGGATAGAAGACGGAGCTCGGATTGTGGGCAACTAACCATGGCGAATGTTGACGATGGTTTATTGGGAGAATAGGGGACTGGGTCTGGGAGCGGTCTACGTCGAATGGAGCCGTATGTTTTGGAGTTGGAAGATGTTCACGAAAGTGTTCGCAAGTCTTGGCCAGATTAGATGCTACCGGATGCCATTGGGGGGTCGAGCTTTTCTGTAGTGGGCAGCTCGTGGAGAGAGAGATGGGGCAGACGGGGGGGAATATCGGGCGATAGGGGGGGCCGCGGGCGTCGAAGGGTCGAAGCTGACAGGCTGCCTGCCCGGTCTGTGGCTAGCCAATGCCATAGGTACCTTAACCACTGGGTGGGCAGTGGGCGCCTTTCCAGGACCGTAGCTTCACCTCTCAGCGTGTCAAAGGCACCGCGTCTCCCAGCCTGATGGGCCCGTGGTGCCAGGGGTCGCTCTGTACTTGGCGGTGTCACCCTAAGAAAGGCCCCCTAAATGAAAGGATGACGGACGGTCTGGAAGGTGCCAGGTGGCAAGGCGGCGTGCCCACGCCTTGGCCCACTTGTACCTCAACACCTAAGGTACCTTGCGTATTTCCCGTCCCTTCCATTCTTCACCTTAATTCAGGACGGATACCTACTCCGTAAGGTGCAGAGAGGAAAAAGCTGACATAAGACATCCTGAAGCGGCGGGTGCATAAAGAACAACGCACCAATTGACGTCGAGCAGTGCCGCGTCGACAGCCTAAAGGCAGGTTGCCTCGACGGTACGGAGCCATTTGGCGCGGCCCACACGCGGCTCAATCCGCAGACAACCGAACAAGACCCGTGGACCTGACGCAATCCGTCTCCGTTCCCAAAGGCTCCCATCCTGGCATGCGATACCTGTCCAATTCATCAGCGTGTTAGTGCAAGCTTGTCGGCGCATTTCTACACAGGGCGGCATAATCAACCAACCACCACCACCACCACCACGACGTACTTCACCATACTTTACCTTTTCATCCTATCACCTTGACTCGTGATCCAAGAGCTTCCCTACGTATCCGTGCTTGTCTTTTGTTGAGGACTCGACTTGGCTACCTCCCAAATCAACCACATATCAGCTCCTGCTAATTAATTACTGCGACCCGAGGCTGAGAGCCGGTCCTGGGATCTTTACGGATATTAGACAGCTAAACCGATTCCGCCCTTGGCACAACTAAACCATCTAATCTGACGTACTTTTCCTAAAAGACTCCCCGATCACACACCATCCACGTCGCCGCAACTTTGTCCTCGCCCAACGCCAATGGTGTCCTGTTCCGTAATTGCGACCTCTCGTTCATGACGGCGACCCTGAGCGGCCCGCGCAGCGAGCGACAAAGGACCCCAGGCTGAGCAGCGCCATCGCGGCCTACTCTGGCGTCCGCTATGTGGCGAGACCGCACGAACCTGTACGTCGAGCTGCCCTTGTTCGCCCACTGAATACCCGCATCGTCTTCACCTTTTACCTAGCTAGACGAGAACCAAGCTCCTTTCTCTTATGCTGACAGTGCATTTCGACATACAGCTATATTTCCTATCGGCAGTCTTACGCGCACCATCCGACGAAAAAGACAAAGTACAGCGGTAGCGCGGCCGGTGGGAATGGCTTCGGCGATGTCTTTCCCGGGAACACCAGCTATGCCAGCGGCAATGACGACACGCGCGGTCTCCTCTCGGCCGGTGCCTTTGAGGATGATGGCGACGCCGTCATAGAGATGGACCTCCTGCCCCCGCGCTGGGCCGACATATCCGACGAGATCACCGACCTGCTTGCCGACATTGCTACCCGAAGCCAGGCTCTCGAGCGCCTACACCAGAAGCATGTTCTACCAGGGTTCAACGACGAGGATGCGAAAAAGGCTGAGGAGAGGGAGATTGAGAGGCTCACGCAGCAGATCACAAAGGGATTTCACGACTGCCATGGCTGCATCCAGCGGGTCGAGCAGATGGTGAGGGACTCGAAACATTCCGGGACAATTACCAGTGCCGAGGAGACCATGGCGAAAAACATCCAGATCTCCCTAGCTTCACGGGTGCAGGATTCTAGCGCGCTGTTCAGAAAGAAGCAGAGCGCATACTTGAAAAGTAAGTACCCGCGGACTTAGAGATATCGAAGGGGGGGGAGAAGGAAGACATGCTAAAAGTGTTATTCAGAACTGCGCGGAATGAGCGGTCTTGGCGCAGGCGGCGTTGGCGTGCCAGGCGAAAGAGGATCAACACCTCAACCCTCCAACTCGTACCTAGACCCGTCCATGGTCGAGTCGGACGCCGACAGGTCCTTTTCGCAGTCGACGCTCCAAGCCACGCAGCAGAAGCTCCTGCAGTCCAACGACGCGGCCATTATCCAGCGCGAGAAAGAGATCGAGGACATTGCGCAGGGTATCATCGAGCTCGCCGACATCTTCCGCGACCTGCAGAATATGGTCATCGACCAGGGCACCATGCTGGACAGGATAGACTACAACGTGGAGCGTATGACCACCGACGTCAAGGGGGCCGAGAAGGAGCTCGTCATCGCCGACACGTATCAGAAGAAGACGACCAAGCGCAAGATTATCTTGCTTCTCCTGCTCATTATAGCAGGCATGATCATCCTCTTGGTCATCAAGCCCAAGAAACGCGGCGGGGACGACGAGTAAACTCCAAAAGGGGGTCAGAGGCACCTCAATGAAGAGACGAAGAAGTTGGTGTAAACTAAATGTATGAATTTTCTTATTTTAGAAGAAATGTCTAGCGATTATGGGACCCATCATCGACCTGCAAGGATAATCAAAATCATCATTCATCCCTTGGTGTATGAATGTTATTCTATTACATGGTGTTTTCACAAGAGAGATTGCACTCGCGGCTTGGCAGTCATAGCCCTCTCCTTTGCTTCACCCGTGCCTCGCTCATGAGGTCTTGTAAATCTGCCACATCAGGCAACAGTCTGCGTCCAGCCGCCTTGTTGAACATCTCCAGAGTGCTCTTCAACGGAGGCAAGTCCGCATTCATCCTCGGCGCGCTGCTGACTCGGGCCAGGTACGTCCGAGCCAAGCACTTGACGACCTCCTCCTGAACAACGGACGTTCGGAATGGGATGCCTCGATCATTCAGGACCGCGAGTAATCGCACACCCCGGGCGAGGGAGAACCCGCCGCTTGTAGCCTCTGATTCCAAGGAGACATCCTTCGCAGGATCAAGACATTGCGAGCCGCCTGCCTTGAATCCCCAACGGACAATGGCGGCGTGTAGAGCAGGGTTGTCAAAGATTCGGCGCATCGGGTGCTGCTCGTGCGATATGGGCAAGTCGGTCGGGACAAGAACATTTCTAGCTGAGCTCTCCACGCCTAACGGCGGTGCGTCCAGCGGGTGGACCGGAAGCAGTCCAGCATTGGAGATGCAAAGGTGCTGATACGTGTCCAGTATGCCAAGGCTGATCTCCTCCAACACGCCAAAGCGGCCAAATTTGCCGAGTCCAAAGAGGATCTTCTGCCAGTACCGCGAATGCAGAGGCTTCTGCAGCAACGTCAGGCGTGTAAGAAAGGCAATGGCTGTGGAGAACGCCTGCTGGTTGTGTGCGGTAGTCTTTGGGTTCCATGGTAAGGGGTCGAGAAGACTCGCGCAGATATGCTGTATCGTCGATGCGTGGACCTCGATATCCATCGTTCGCATCTCATCCAGCAAAGCCAAGGCTTGCTTGAACCTCCCCTCGTCGACGAAGTGATGCAGCAAGATATTCGACGTGGAGTCGACCGAGTCTTCCACCATTGCCGGCTGGACCGCCAGCAACAGCCGGTGTGTTTTCCAGTCTCCTTCATCAAAGGCCTTGTCACGGATGCTGGCAAGCATCGCGGGGTCATCAAAGACGTCTGGGTGTATATCCGTGTGCAGCAATTCCGCGAGCAGCTCGTCATCATTGTTCTCAGCAAAACGTTTGAGCACCCATGCATAGGCTGAATGCCCAATGCCGATGTTGACTGTCCGCAGCTGCTCGATCCGGGTCATGACCCCTTTGGCCGTCGGTTCGCGCAAGGCGATCGACTGGAGGGATAGAGGGCCGATGTGGTGCACTCCGAGGGCGTGGACGGCATGGATTGCAAAGTCGAGAGGCACCCAGGAGCTTGCAAACCAGCGCGCACCAAGCTTATCGCTGTGCTGTCTTCCTGGAGGCCCACTCTCATCGCCGTGTGTGTCATTGATGGCCTCCCATAATGAGTCGTCCTGGGCGTCCCAGTACGCCTTGGAGTTCAAGCCAATGACAACCTGTTCCTCCAGTTCGAGGGTAGTGGTCGGATAGTAGCGAGCGAGGAACCTCAGGTACGGCTGTGACTCGGCATTAGGCGGAGGCAGATCGTCGTGGCGTATGAACGCTTGACGCCACCCAGCGCATTGTTGGGAGAGGCCGCTCTTGTAGAGGAGGGGAATGATCTCATTGTAGAATCCGCGGTGTATAGCTGTAAGATAAAGGGCTTGCAATGTCTGTTGCATGTCGGGTTCGGTGGTGACTGCGAATTGTCGTAACAAGGTACCGAAGGCTTCCTGTCCAGGGTCGAAGTTCGGCATCAAGCGCATATGCCACTGCAGTGCTCGCCGATACTGGCCCTTTCGGAGGCAATGTGAGACTGTCGTGAGGTATAACGACGGCCACTGGGCAGAGTTGTCATGAAGAAGACACTCCGCATATAGCGCAACGCCCTTGAGCTTGTCCTCATCGTGGAGGACAGTTTCCAGGATGATGCTCCAAAACGATTTTGCTTCTTCGCTCGTCACGTCCCTCCATGACCTGCGCCGCTCCACCGCTTCCCAAACAGCAAGCACACCATCTCTCCCACGCTTTTCCTTTGCGGCGATAAGAAAGCTGAGCCATGCTGAAAAGTCATCCTCGTTCTCCGGTATTTCGCCGAGTTCAACATTGGACTTATCGGGAAGCCAGATGTCGCCGTCCGAGTCGATGTTGGTGTTGAAGTCGGGTTCTCGTTGCGTGGGTAGACCTCGAGCTCTCCGAGGTTGAAAAAAAGCTGGTCTGGATCCAGAAGGCGGGCTTTCTGAAGGTTGCAGCGCGATATTCGTGTAGGTAGTTGTGCTGTTTGAGTCGCGAACGTCGACGACTGTGTGCAGGAAAGTTGGGCTATATCTCGGGTGACCGGATCCGCGCGGGTCAAGGTTGGGTACGCGTGACGATGGGTCGGAGGTAGCGAAGCTTCTGCGTGAAGTTCTCGGCAAGACTTGGACTGTTTGTCGAATCGCGCCGAGTCCTTGATGTGATTGCCGCCGGCCGAGGCATGCTGCTCTATTCAAGTGACAGAGGCATTGCGAGGCCAATTGCATTGCCCCGCGTGAAGAACCACCAAAGCACAATTGCGTCGAGACAGGGCATCAAGCATAGCAGCCGGCACATTGAACAAAACTAAGGTCCGGTGACGGGCTGCATCGCGAGGCTGAATCTGCAGGAGGAATCTAGCAATGGCAAGCTTGGAGGAATTTCAGGCTTGGGCCAAAAAGTTCCCCAAGCAAAGATCCATCCGTCAACCGAATTGAGCTCAGCGCCATTCGTCGGACAGAAGCTGGAAAGCGGGTCCTGCTGAGTCAGTCGGGGGGCCTTTCGGCCCACGCAAGGCATGAGCCCATCTTCCTGATTGCTCCGTCCGTCCTTCAAAGCCGACATACGAGAAAGCCTTTGAAGCTGTAAACCACCACAAACCCGAAGCAAATCGCAATTGAATCGATCAAAATGGGGTACGTGCCTTCTTAGCAGACGAAAGACCGACCGGCGGTCGACGGAGCGCTGTCGTCGCCAATCGCTGTCCATGTCGAAGTCGAGAACAATTATCATACGAGGGCATTTCTGACGTCCACACAGTATCGTCGACGCGAAGAACAAGGTCCCCGACCTCCAGAAGTTCTACCAGGCCGCCTACAAGGACCACACCCGTGTCTGGAAGATCGTATGTCGAATTGATTCTGGCAATGCGCAATTGGCGCCGGCGCCGACGGACGGACGCTGACTCGATAATCGCAGAACCCTCGCTCCCGCTGGTACATGATCCCCTACGTTACCCTTCTGTGGGGATCTGTTGGTGGTATGTTGTCACTTGCTCGGAACTTCGTTAGGGCGAACACTCACATCAAGCAGCCTCCTTCTACGGCATGGGCCGCAAGGTCCTCGGCTACAACACCTACTTCGGCAAGGAATAGACGCTGCTCGCGATGGATACCACCCCGTAGCGAGAGGCTCGGGACCGGACTGTATGATTCGTAGGGCGACCAATAGACCAAATTGGCTTCAGAAGGCCATTCTTCCTTAGTGACATGTTCACAAAACTAAGAATTGTAATGACGTCGATCGTGGGAGTTCTCTTTTTTTACTATGCCTGTCAAAATTATAAGATGGCCAACCTTTTCCCGCTCCATCCTTTAGGCAGAAAAGGTCATCTAGAATACACATGCGCACCGGCTCAGCAAGTAACGTCAAAGTCTCGTGCTTGCGCGGCATTCAACACTCTTAGACGGCGACTGCCGATCCTCTCATCCATCCATTCGTTTACAGCATCTAGTAGCCGCTGGCTCCAGGTGCTTTCTCGTCCTTCTTCAGGCTGATGAGGAGCTCACGGAAGCGCTCCTTGCCGGAGCCGGAGGCGCCACCCTTAGAGCCCTTTCCGCTGACATCGACCAGCTTCGCGATTCTCTCCCAGCTCGTGCCGCCGGAGACGGTATCCTCACGGCTAGCAAGGAACTTCTCGGCGTCCTTTTGCGTCTGGGCAATACCCTTCTCCTTTTTGGCGTTGTAGTTGTTGTAGAAATCGTCAATGTTTTCTCTGGCTTCCTTGATCGTCTCCTCGCGCTGCTGAGCGAATTGCTGTGCCCGCTTCTCGTTCTGCGCATCTCTCTGCTCGCGCCACTCACGGATGACCGCGGGCTCCTCTTCCTCTTCGACGAAGGCGTTGTAGCCGGAGTTGTAGTTTACGCTAGGAGCAGCGGTGATACCAGCGCCGGGAATCTGACCAGGGGCGACAGCCTGTGTATTCATCTGTTAGACGGCTCGTAGGGCGACAGTGTGGTATGACGAACCTCGTTCTGGGCAAGGTCTGGGAATTGCGACTCGAATGTCGACTCCTCGCTGATGACGTTTCCACTGCCTCCACCCCCAAGAAGATCATCGTCGCCGGCTCCAAAGGCGATGGCATCGTCACCAGTAGCAAACTGATCGGCGTCGTCACCAAGAAGCGCCTTCTCGCGGGCAAGGAAGTCGTCGGTGGATGGTTCGGCGCCGGAGTCCTTGATGTCGGTTTGGGCTGGGTGCGGTTCGTCAGCCTCAGGAAATTCATTTGCGCTGAAAATACCTACCACCCGAATCGAAATCCTCTAGCGAAGGGAATCTGTCGGCCATTTTGATGCCTGGTTTGTGCGTTGTTGAAGAACAGGAAAGAGGGACAGGTTGTCGACGTGGCTGCTGGGGATCAGATGCCAAAGTACCGATCGGGATAGAATTCCGCCCAGAAGTTAAGCTGTACAAGTTGGGTGTCAATAGTCAAATTTTCTGTTTGAAAGCGCTCAAAGTCAACGGCGACTGTAGGTTTGTAGAAACAAGTTGAGGTGAAGTATGGTATGTTAGTTACCTCTGGTATGTGATAGGGACAACGGGAGGCTTCCTTGGATGGTACGGTGCTTGCCGTGTGCAGTGTGCAGTAACAGGTATCCACTTTGAAGCTGTCCCCATCGGTTAGTTGAATGCGCCTCTGGTGAAGTGTCACCCATGTGGTCCGAGCAAGCCCCTGTGGCTTGGGATTTTTGAGCAGGGAATACCAGTGGATATATACATATACTGGATACTTCCAAGTGAATTTCTACTTGGCTTATCGCTATATAGAGAGCAGGAGCGACCACGTCTGAGCCATCAGCGTTGTTTTGATTCTGGTTGACCTCCGTTAACTGACTCCCATATCACCGTCTCTCTTCTCAGCAGCAAGGTCGCCATTTCATCTCGCAGAGCAAAATTCTCGTAATCCCGGGTTTGCAGTCCATCTATCTTACTGTTTGGCCATCTGCGCAGGAGGGCTGCTAGATGCATTGATCTGGACGCTTTGCGGAAGCAGCTTTGGGAGGTCAGGTGTTTGCTACTAGGATTTCTGACCTAGAGATTCCATTGACTGACTGATTGAATACCTTCCCGTCCTTCCATTCTTTACCTCACTCCTCCCACTCACTCTTTCACTCTCACATACACTTTCTCTCACTCTCTCGCCTACCTTGCCTCACTTACCTCACTGGATTAATATTGCTTGATACTTTCTCAAGCACTGCATCTCGGAGGGGGTTTTTCTTTTTTCACTTCGCAGAAGTTCTCTAAGTCATCATCGCATCAACCATACCCATCCAATATTCAATTTCAACGGGGGTTTGCCTTTTCATCAAAGGAAGGAGCAAGGAAACACATCCGTCTTCAGATCGTGTTTGCCTCAAGTAAAGCAACTGGACACCTTCCCATTGCAGACACTGTCGCAGAGATCACTCTCTAAATACCTACAACACCCAAGTAGCGCCAGACTAATATGGCATACAACGACGATGCCGTGCTGGCAAAGCTATCGGCCCTGAATGAGAGCCACGACAGCATTGCGACTGCTGCACAATGGATCATGTTTCATAAGTAAGCCCGCCCGATGAGTTTCGACTCCCATGCTGCTCACTTGAATGGAATTGACTTTGACCTCTTTTCAGGAGACATGCAGATCGCACTGTTGCGCTATGGATGCAGCGTCTTCGCGACTCATCAAGCACCAAGAGACTAAGCTTGGTGTATCTTGCAAATGGTAAGGGCCTTGAAACATTGCAAAGTCTTTGTCTTCCTGACGACGAATTACCTACAACATGAATGATTCTGACACACTCACAGAGGTCACCCAGCAGTCAAAGGCACGACACAAAGAGGACTTTCTTGTGGCCTTTTCCCCTGTCATCGCTGAGGCGACGGCCTTAGCCTACAAGGGAGCACCGGCTGAGATCCAGAACAAGCTTAGAAGGGTCATTGACGTCTGGAAAGACCGCTTCATCTTTGAACCGCCTGTTCAACAGGCCATCGAACGCGGCATTGATGGTAAATACTCTCTGCATGCGATAGCAACATGATGTACTGATGATGCTCTAGAACTCGATAAGGCTCGAGGAACTGCCAAAGCAAACTTCGCTAGTCCTGGAATGGGCGGTGGTGGCCCCTCTGTTCCAGTAGAGCTCACCCCGCTCGTCACCTCCTATACCAATGTATCGAAGCTCAACCTACCTACTAAGACGGCTGTGAGCACCGCCAACCAGGATTTCGAAAAGGTCACCGACCCCTCGACACCCGTCCCGTCCGCCCCCGTCTACGCAGCAAGACTTAATGGTCTCTTGAAGAGTTTGGCGAGTGCTGAGGGCGCTGTCGCGGAATGTGTCAAGGCTAGGAAAGGCCTCATTGGCGAGTTGGAGAAGATGCTCAGCGCAAGTCAGGAGGCACTGACGAACGACGAGAGACAGCATGCCGAGCTGTTGTCCCGGAAGGCCGAGACGGAGGATAAGAGACGTGAGATTGAGCAAGCCATTATGCGTGGACTGCCGACGCATGAGGCTTCGCAATCCCCCGGCAATGGGGCATCCAAGACGCCTGAGCCTGAGAGACCAGAAGTTGAGGCGCTCACACCTCCCCCCGTGGAGGCCTTCACACCGCCGTCTGTGGAAGCGCTGACCCCTCCCCCTGTCCACGACGAGCCGCCTGTTCCTCACCACACAGAAGAGGATCGTGCCCGCTCGGCATCGAGCCAGGGTTTCCAGCCTCCGGCAGCGTCGGGCATCGAAATGCTGTCAGCCCTTGCCTCGCAGTACCAGTCTATCCCTGTCTCGGCAAATGGCGCGAAGAAGAGACGCCGAATCGACGGAGACGAATTCCCTGACCTTGGAGGCGATGATGGAATCGATGCCGACGTGGCAGAGATGCTGAGTAAGGAAAGTAACGGCAGTGCTTGAAAGATCTGTGTGTTACAGACTGCACCACGTCGACTACTCAGACTGCCACAGGCACGACTTTGAGAGACTTGGGGGCGGTTGCGCACGTAGTATCATGGTACTAGTGAGCACGCCGCACGCATCATTGGGTTTCACGGCCGGCTGCGAAGATTGGTCTCTCGAAGGCTCACTACGGGACGGAACCTCGAGATCTGTACCAAAACTGGCTCGAGGCAGGAGATAACCTTGAGGCACTGGCCATTCTTCGAGGACATGGTCTAAGGTGGAATCTGGGAGGGTCGAGGCCTATTGCAGCCTCATGTGTTTATAGTATGTAAGAAAGCTAGGAAGCTAGGGATCACAACAAAACAGAACAAGCAATTGGTAGAGCTGATTTAATTCTCGATGAATGGCCAAATGGTTAAATGGCATGTGAATGACCAGACTAAGGCGAATGGTGAACCGTACATTGACTACTGCCGCAACTTAGGCAGGTAGTTAGTGCTGTTCCTTCTGTCCTCGGCTGGTGCGGAGTGAGCAGTCGGCGAAAAGACATGCCCGGGCCGACTATCACCGAGGGGCCCTGTTAGCGGGCAGCAGCGTCCCGTCCGCTGTCAGCATTCCTCCGGGTACGGGCCATGCATCGAGCGCTGTAAATTTCGAGTGCAAACCGATGACGGAATCTCTCCGGTCCTCTCGTTAAACTACCTAGGTCGTGGCTGTATTCATGCGCAACCCGTCGAGCTTCTTCGTATAATGGTGCAGCCTCCTTCAACGCTTTCTGACTATGCGCCTCCCATGAGATAAATTCATTTTCCAATTCCACCATGGCTATGGCAGTAGTGCGATCCGCGGTGTTGCTCCCGCACCGCGCCGGCAGCTGCCCGACCACATTAGCATCGCTGATGACAACCCTCCCCGGCCTGCGCAAAACCTCGACGATTCCGCCGGTTCTACAACATCCTCTGCTGTCACAGATTAGAGGCTTCAGCTCCAAGCCCGTTCAATCATTATCTGCAGCTCGTTCTGCTGCTACCATCCACCGATCCGCGCGACAACGACCCTTTCCTTTTTCCCAAAAGCCTCAATCACCCGGACCGATCGCGATCCTGCGCTATCTCTCGAACGGGGTTTCCAAGCAACGAGACTCTCAGTCTGCGACGCAAAATCAGGCTACTCGAGACGGTGATAAGAACGCAAACCAGACCGAACCGTCGTCACGAGACCCCGAACAACCTGATGATTTCCAAAAGAGCGAGCGGGCTGCTAAGGCTGCCCAGGTTAACCTCAGTGCGAAGTTGTCAAAGGAGGGCAAGTCGCAAGGTGGCAAGGCCGGATTTTCCGAAATTTGGAGACTGATCAAGATTGCGCGGCCGGAGCTGCGGTGGCTGGGAATCGCCATGATCTTCCTCATCATTTCGTCCGGTGTTACCATGTCTATCCCATTTTCCGTCGGCAGAATCCTCGATATGGCTACCAAGGATCCGGCCGAGGAAGCGCGCTTGTTCGGTTTGACCATGCCGCAGTTCTTCACAGCCTTGGGCGTCATCTTGACCGTTGGAGCCATGGCCAACTTTGGACGCGTAATCCTCCTGCGTATTGTTGGCGAAAGAGTTGTAGCCCGTCTGCGCTCGACTCTCTATCGGCGAACATATGTACAGGACGCCGAGTTTTTCGACGCGAACCGAGTTGGAGACCTCTTGTCGCGACTCAGCTCTGATACTGTCATCGTTGGAAAGTCCATCACCCAGAACATCAGCGATGGTCTGAGGGCGCTTTTTAGCGGAGGAGCCGGTTTCTGTGTTATGGTCTGGCTTAGTCCCAAGTTGACTGGACTTCTCCTCATTATGCTGCCACCTGTTGCAGTCGGAGCCTTCTTCTACGGTCGTGCAATCAGAAACGTGAGCAAGGGTATCCAGAAGAATCTTGGTACCTTGACGAAGATTGCCGAAGAACGCCTCGGCAACGTGAAAACGAGCCAGGCATTCGTGGGAGAGATCCAAGAAGTCGGCCGCTACAACCGTCAAGTCAAGAAGATCTTTGCTCTGGGTAAGAAGGAATCCACGATCGCTGCCACTTTCTTCGCCTCAACGGGCTGGGCTGGTAACATGACCATCCTTGCCATGCTCGTTGTCGGCGGCAACTTTGTCCGCGACGGCGCCATGACGCTAGGAGACCTGACATCTTTTATGATGTACACGGCTTTTGCAGGATCCAGTCTGTTTGGTCTCTCGTCTTTCTACTCAGAGTTGATGAAGGGCGTCGGTGCTGCCAGTCGCCTTTTTGAGCTGCAAGACCGAAAGCCCGGCATCTCACAGACAGTTGGGCTCAAGGTGAAGTCTGCACAGGGCCCGATTCGGTTCTCAAACGTTTCGTTCGCCTACCCTACACGGCCTGCCGTCAACATCTTCAACGATCTTAACTTTGAGATTCCTTCGGGCAGCAACGTCTGTGTTGTGGGACCTTCAGGTGGCGGTAAATCGACCGTTGCCGGCCTGCTATTGCGATTCTACAATCCAATCGCTGGCTCTATTACAATCAACGGTGTTGACATTTCCAAGATGAATGTCAAGTCACTACGACGCCGCATCGGCATGGTCGCGCAGGAGCCTGTCTTGTTCTCTGGGTCGATTGCTGACAACATTTCCTACGGCAAGCCCAACGCCACCCGAGCTGAAATCATCGCGGCCGCGCGGAAGGCCAACTGCAACTTTATCAGTGACCTTCCCTCTGGATTGGACACGCAGGTCGGAGCCAGAGGCTCACAGCTGTCGGGAGGTCAGAAGCAGCGAATCGCCATTGCGCGAGCGTTGATCAAGGATCCCGATATTCTTATCCTCGACGAGGCGACCTCCGCCTTGGACGCCGAGTCTGAGACGCTTGTCAACGCCGCACTTACCTCGCTTCTCAGAGGCAGGAACACGACCATTTCTATTGCTCACCGACTGTCGACTATTAAGCGATCTGACCTGATCATTGTTCTTGGCAACAACGGCGGAGTCGCAGAGATTGGCAAGTACACGGAGCTTTCTGCCGACAGCAACAGCGCATTTAGCAAGCTCATGGAGTGGCAGATGAGCGGCGGTGACGTCCCCGATCCTCGCTCTAGTGACAGAGCTCATATTACAGAAGAGGAAGAAATCGAATCCGACCTCGAGAGGGAGGAGGGTGAAGAGGAAACCGAGGAGCAGGTGCAGGAGGAGGTGAGGGAGAAGGAGGCGCGGCGGTGAGAAGTATATACTACCTGGTCTCCGGACAAGAGTAGGATTGCTTTGAAGGCGGTTTTATGTGTGATTTTTCTTGTGTTTTATATCAAAAAGGCTGCTTACAGATGAAGCAGCGATTCAGCAGCAACGGCGAATCACTTACTGCTATGGGCGCAGCTCACACCGCGCTGCCGTCTTGTGTACTACAAATTATTCATGGGTTACATAGCATCATAGAATAACTCCGCTCGATCTTAATGGACGTCTGGAGTGCTCCAAAATCAACAATTTAAATGCTTTCCATCGCCAGATGATAGAATGTGATGTGCGAAGTACTCTATGAGTTGCCAGGCTCAAGGACTATAAGCTGCTCTAGCTTATCTAGGTACCATGACTCTCGACACCCTGTAGGCTAGAAAAGTCTAGTCTCACACTCTTTATTGATCACTGACGCCGTTCTAATTAAACGGCAGGTTGGCGTGCGAGTACCTGTGTCGCTGAGCCAAAAGCGGACGGTGACCGGAAGCTTCCATTGGAGAAGTTGGAGTTTCCAATAAGCTCCGAGCTTCCCATGTCTGCAAGCGGAGCTCAGCTCTTTCAGTGTGCCATGGCCACAGCGCCACCTCCACTCACCTTGGATGTCTTGAATCGAATCCCCAACAATAACACGTGAAAAGCATCTCACCTCATTCCTTCTCATAGCCCGTGGTACATCGTGGGAAATCCGCTGTATATCTGTATCTTGAATTATCTAGTCCTCCATTTATACCACCAAACCAATCGCACACAACATCATCGTCGTCATCATGGCTACGCAGACCGAGGGCACCTTTGAGGTGGACGGCCAGAAGCTTCACAGCACAACATGGACGGTAGGTACTCATTCCTTTTGGTTTATTTATCCATGACAACTCGCGGGCATAAATATATACTGACGCTGCACCAAATAGCCCGAGGGCCCCGTCAAGGCCAAGCTCGTCTTCGTACACGGCTTCAGTGACCACGTAGGACGGTACGACGAGCTCTTCCCCAGCCTCGCCGGCCGCGGCATCCAGGTCTTCAGCTGGGACCAGCGCGGATGGGGCCGCAGCGCCGCGACAAAGGCCGACCGGGGCCTCACGGGCCCAACGTCGCGCGTCCTCGCCGACGTAGCCGCCTTTATCCGCTCCAAGCTCCCGTCCCCGCCTACGGACGCGCCCGTCTTCGTCATGGGCCACTCCATGGGCGGCGGCCAGGTCCTCGCGCTGGCCAGCGACCCGCAGTACCACGACCTCGTCGGCCAGGTGCGCGGCTGGCTCCTCGAGAGCCCCTTTATCGCCTTCACGCCCGGCGAGGAGCCGAGTTTCTTGAAAGTGTTCTTTGGCAAGCTCGCGAGTAAGGTCCTGCCCAAGCAGCAGCTCGTCAACGAGATCCCCGCCGAGCACCTCACGCGCGACAAGGCGGCGCAGCAGAGCATCCGCGACGACGACCTCATGCACAACACGGGCACGCTCGAAGGGTTGGCGGGCATGTTGGAGCGGACGGACCAGCTTGCGCAGAACAAGCTGACGCTGAGCGGCAACGTCAAGAGTCTTTGGCTGGGCCACGGCACCGAGGACAAGACGACGTGCTTTAATGCCAGCAAGAAGTGGCTTGGCGCGCAGACGATTGACGATGGGCACCATAAGCCGTATGAGGGGGCGTATCACCAGCTGCACGCGGACTTATGCAAGGACGAGTTCTTCAAGGATGTCGGGGATTGGATCCTTGAGAGGGCTGGCGGAGAGCCTGTGGCGAAGCCCGAGTCCAAGTTGTAGGAGACTGGACGGGCCCGCGGCATCTCTGTCTTTGCCTTTGGTCCATGTAACCGGTACTGGTGTCGTGACTTTTTGGTTGGTGCGATATCTCTCTTTCGTCTGTGGCTTGGTGGTGGTGGTCGAGACCATGTACGCTGCCGAAGTCGCGGACTGCTATACCTCACTATCATGCCACGATGGTATCCTGCTTGGTGATATAGCTGCACTTGGAAACGTCCAGAGTACATCTGCATCCACGCCAAGGCCAGCTTCTAGGATCTATATATGTAAGAGTTCTTTTTTCAGCAGCATATTAATAATATTCAAGTTATTTGCAATTCAAGAGAACTACGCCGATGGAAGTCCCCGAATTATGAATCAAATACATATTAAATCATTCTTTTGGTGTTCAGCTTGGCCTGTTTAAGGTATCTCCTAGTAAATCGATGCCAAGGTTGCCGAGTGAATGGGATGTGACCCGGTTCCGGTTGTGCCCGAAGCACATGAGAAACGGGGACCCGAATCCAATGGCCCCCCCGTTCCGGCAGGTCTCGGTCCCCCGGGGACCCTCCAGGTAACGGTTTATTTCGAAACATAAAGTCGATCCGCATCCCCGGGATTTTTCAACTTCATCCCATTCTATTCTGTATACAGCTACTCATCGTGGCGGGGTTCTTTGGGCCGCTGCTTTCGGATTGTGCTCGACAGCGCAGCAGTTCCCCGCCTTTTTGCTGAGAGCTGACCGTCAGAGTCCGCTCCAAAATTCTCTCTCCCCCCCCATCGATTGAAGTACCGCAAAGCACCTCAAAATTGCTTCTGCCCTCTACTTTCAAATCTGTTTATTTGTCTCACAAGTCGGCTTGAAAGTCTCGGGAAGAGGACGATAGTGATCTGATGAAGCCATCGAGATCGCCAAAGTGTCCGAATCTATCAGCTCCCGTACGGAACCCAAGCATTGGACTGTCTACCTTAACGTGGCGTCCAACTCAGAGATTATGTCCACCACCAGTCGCAGCGCTCAAACAATGAGCTGTTGGGGTGGGCGTCACACACCTTGTCTCCCATGCTTTCCCTTCAACGCTGGTCACTAACACTCTCGAGATGAAGCGAAGGCAGTTTTCCACGTATCCTGATGTCAAGTCCACCGACTTTCTCTATCGTTGTGTAGAAACATTTGACCCAGTCGAGCCAACCCAATACTAATGCAACTTAGTCTTGACCTGTCCATCACCTCAATCGCGTCGCCCGAGACGGCAGTCTACCTCCCCTTTCCCCGTGGGCAAATGATTGGTCCACAGTTGTTTTACCTCATGAACATGTTCTTTCTTTCCATGTCTAACCTCCACCTCCCCGGCACTTTTGGCGAGCTAATCAACGACACGGCAGAATAAGCAGGAGACGCCAGCGGGGAAGGTGTGCACCTTACACAGCTCGACGACAACACATCCCGTCGCACCCGCTTGCTACCCCCGCACCTCCTGCAGCGATCCTGCCCCAAGGAGCTTGCAATAGGTACTCCGTATCAGCCACTATGTCTTTTCCGAAAGCCCGCTTCGAGAGGGAAGAAGGTGCGAGCTTTGTTTGTTGGTCAGAGGCCCAGGTTCCGAAGCTCTTTGGAATATCTTACCTTTGGCGACATAACCCAGACATACGAATCTCCATTCTACAGCACCCTCCATTCGCCTCTGTTGCCACCCTTCCTCTCACCTCACAGCCCGTCAGCCTGGTTTATATCGATACACTGGAAACAGGGATTTGACAACCTCATATAATCAACTAGTATCCTTCATTGCGCATAACTTACTATTCATCGACCTGACGCCCGCCGCCGACATGGAGCCTGACCTCTCCATGAGCATCACCATGCATCCGCACCCCTTCGGCTTGCACACGCCATCCCGTCTCGCAAACACCTCCAGTCGAGGCTCGATGCAGCTCTCCAGCGAAGATGCCGCAGCCAACGCCTCTAGTACGGCCATAGAGGCCGCGCCTCATCATCCTGCCACGCACGATGAGAAACACGAGCCCATTGCCCGCCACTCTACCGCCGCTACCGACGTCGAGGGGCAGCCCCGTTTGCGATCCGATTCGGACCCCTACGGCCTCTCCGCGGCCTTCAAGACGCCGGAGGACCTCGCCGAAATCAGAGCAAACACCTCGCGCAAACGGGACAGTCACCCTGCCGCCGACAAACCCAGCGGCAGGACTTCGCCAAGCGGCTCCTGGTACCATGGCCACAAGGTGCAGAAGTTCTACGAAACGCAGAACGCGGCCATCGAGCGCATGCTCAAGTCCGTAGACGAGCACGTTGCCGAGGCCCGCCAGGAAGCCGGCGACGACCAGCTGCAGTTCCGGATCGCCGTCTGGGGCTCCTTTGCCGCAAACATTGCCCTTACAGCCCTGCAGCTCTACGCGGCCATCAGCACTGGCTCCCTGTCGCTCATCACCACAATGGCCGACGCCATTTTTGACCCCATGAGCAACCTGACTCTCATCCTGGCCGGCCGCGCCATCAAGAGAGTGAACCCGCGCCGTTTCCCTGCCGGCAAGGCCCGCCTCGAGACTGTCGGCAACATCGTCTTCTGCTTCCTCATGATCTCGGTCTCGCTCATCATCATCGCCTTCGCCGCGCGCGAGCTGGCTACCGAAAGGGAGTCGTCCAACGAGACAAAGGCCTTCCGCATCGAGCCAATCATTGCCGTCTGTTGCGCCTTTACAACCAAGTTTGTGCTCTTTTTGTACTGCTTCTCCTTGCGAAACCGATACTCCCAGGTCCGCATCCTCTGGTCCGACCACCGCAACGACTTGCTAGTGAATGGCCTCGGTATACTCACGTCCGTCGGCGGTTCAAAACTTAAGTGGTATATCGACCCAACTGGCGCCATAATATTGTCACTGATCGTATCCGGCATCTGGTTGCGAACCGCCATCGCCGAGTTTTTGCTGCTCGTAGGCGTCACCGCCTCGATCGAAACCCAGCAGCTCATCACCTACGTCTGCCTGACGCACTCACCTGCCATTCAGGGCATCGACACGGTGCGTGTCTACCACTCGGGCCCACGGCTCATCGCCGAGGTGGATATCGTCATGGACCCCGCAAACACCCTCGCCCAGACGCACGATGTGGCAGAGGCGCTGCAGGTCAAGTTGGAGAGTCTACCGGATGTGGAGCGGGCCTACGTACATATCGACTACGAGACTACACACAAACCGGAGCATGCGTTCAAGAAGGACCTGTAAAGATGTGTAGTAGTATGCGCCAAGTAGCCGATAGCGAGGCTCTCACAATAGAAATCGAAGAGTATTATCAAGTAAATTACAAGCTTGTTCTTTTTAGGGCTAAATTCAAGCGACAGGACCGAATCATGATCAAATCACTGCCACGTTTCCGCTCACAAGGCCCTCGACGCCAGAACGAGTTGAGGGCCGGCCTCTTCGTACTTCGTACGAATTATATACCAATGAGTATCCGCTCCCTAGTAGTGTGATGGCAAAAGGCACACACTCTGCTCTTCGTGATGTAAGCTAGGTAAACTTGAGGTTAGCATCCCAAGGCCATTCTCAATGACAGGGAATACGCACTCTGCCAGAAGGCTGCCTCGATGTCCCACTGGTGATCTCCCCGCTCATTGAGCTGCTTACGACCTAGCATACCCGCGACATTCTGGCCACTCCCAGAAGACTTCAGCCACTGGTCGCAATAACAGCCAGGCCGGAAAGTCACTGAGCGTAGCTGAAGCAGTATTGATAGACGTAGACGCCGGATAAAGGGTTCTTCTACCTGGTGGCTCTGTCTTACACATAGCCGGAACCCAACGACGAAGCTATTCCGGCCATAGAGAATCGGGGTGGCTTCTTGTTCTATCTGCCTGCATGTCTGCAGAATCTCAACGTGGGGTTTCCTGTGGGTGAGCGACACGACGCGAGGTCTCGGGCGGGGGGCGCGTAGGTAGGCGACTTGGTGCTCCGGCGGCTCAACTTTGACGTGGAGTTGACGGCGGCTGCTCGACACAATGATGGGTTCCGGGGTAAGGAGCAGGAGCTCGTAGATGTCTAGGCGGAGCTCATAAGGGAGACTGAAAAAGTCTAGACGGCGCGGGCGAGGTTCTGGGGTGATTGTTCGCAGCGGCTATAAGAAGTGTATATGTTTAATAATCCGTTCTTTGAAATGAGTTCCAGAGAAGATTGATTCTGTCGGAGGACGACGAACAGGGCTACGAGCATGCGAATATTGGATTTCAATGTGACCAGGTAGGTAATTGGTAGGCTGTAAAGTGCAAAGGAGACGAGCAGTCCAGTAATTGCTGGACTGAAAGTGCCGTGCCGGGTAGACCCTTGATGCAGATCATCATCAGCTTGAGCTGCGAGAGCTGTTGGATCCCCGCACCACGATGCGGAGAATGGTCCACAGGGTCCTTCTCGCTTTGCCCACCTCAATGCATCCCTCACCTCATGTGACGTGTGTAAGGTGTTGTGAGTTAAGGTAGGCATGGCATGGTAAACTCCCCAGACGGCCCACACTTGTGTCCATCGTTTCCTGCACTCTGCCCCAAAGCATGGTTGAATTTCAGATAGACATCTTGGTGATGGACAGAAGATGAAACGCAGACTTACGATGATGGCTTGCGTCTGTAGCTCTGGCTCCGACGTTGACCAACCAGGACTGGGCGAGTAGATGATCTCGTCTGCAGCGTGTTGGTGGTAGTGGTCATGAGCACTGGGGCTTTCCATTGCGGATGACGAGTATGATGCAGCAGTCTGTCTGCAGCATACCTAGAACTGAACGGATGATGTTAGACGAGCTGGGGGACGATACGCCAGACATGCAGTCGTATGCAGTAGTAAGGCGGGGCAAAATATTGGGACTGTGGGAGGATGAGGTGCCGATGGACGGATGAGGAGTGAAGGAGACGGGGAGGTGTTGGGAAGTTGTGCAGATTAATCCCGCGCATGGCTCGGTTCGCGTTTCCAAGGGTCCTTTGTCTCTCTTTTTCTGATGGGAACATCTTTGTCCGATCGAGGAAGCCTCCCATGTCCCGGATTGCTAGGTGAGATAGCTGTGGGCGAGACATGCGGGAGGGGAGGTGCAAGGAGCTTCCCGAGTCAACGTCATTTCCTTCCCGGTAGTCCTTTTTCTAACCTCGCAACTTCCCAATGGCAGGCAATGCGAGTCTGGGTCTTGGGGGGTAAGGAAGGAAGCCGGAAGATGCGGGGAAGCTGCGGGCATGGAACTTTCCTCCTTCCATTCATCTACCATTAGATATGGGTAGGAGCTACGGACATGTTACGCACACTTTCCCAGCTTCAAGCTGACAGCTTCCCGTCGACAGCTTGGAGGGTGGGGAAGGAGGGGTTGGTGACTGGTGCCCGGGCAGTTTTCCGCCTTCTCCCTTTAACTTGACTGA